CAAGCTCTTCAGCTTCCTTCCATCGGCCCTGATTCCGGTATGTCAACGCAAGATCGGCCATGAGATTTAGCATTTCCTCATTATCCACAGGCCGTCCATGTCGCGCTTTATAGACTGCTTGAAACAGCACCTCTGCTTCCCTATATCGTCCATCCTCAAAAAGACAGCGTCCGACACATTGAGCAAATTCCTCCTGGACTTCCACACCCTGTGGAAGCACTTTATTTTGGAGAATAAATTGAGCATGGGGTAAATATTCCCGCCATAAACCTCGATTATGATGGTCGTCAGATGGGAAGATGTCATTAAAATGCTCAATAGCTTTGACTACCCATTTCAGAAGTTGATCTTCCATCTGTAACCAATTCCGGATCGCCAGATGAACAAGACGGTGCATATTGATAAGATGACTGTTGCTTTGCATGGTAATAAAAGCATAGGCTTTTAGTATTCCTAGCGCCTTCTGCTGCTCAATGTTTGACTCGGCAGGTGGAAGAAGAGATAGGGGTATATCTCGCGCCTCTATGCATGCCATGAATGAAAGATATTGAGCTGCCATATCAGATGACTTTTGAATCTGCTGGAAGGATACCAGCCAGGTAGAAGCCACTGGATTCTTGATGTCAGGGTATCGGAATTCATCCTCAAACTCTTCACTGAGTAGCTCAATCATCGCGCTCCCTTGCTGATTGAGTAGAGATAGATAAGCTTCCAGCGAGATGTCGTTCTCATTAATGAAGCTTGCAGCTTGGCTCAGGGCCAGGGGCAGACCACATAGTTGGCGGACTAATGTGGTCGTGGTTTCATGATCCTTAGTCAAGTCTGGGTTGATAAGTGATGCTTTCAACAAATCAATAGCCATCACGTCATCCAATTCTGACAGTCTTATAATACCCGGTCCAACCAGTTGCGTTGCGAGCTGTTGATTCCGGGTGGTGAAAAGAATGAACCCATTTCGGTTCTGGGGCAGAAAGGTTTTTAACGCAGGTAATGAAGGGCTAGACTTCATCCAAATATCCGCATCGTCTGCATTATCGATTATGAGTAGCCAGGAGCCGGCCATTTCTGAGCTCAGGTATGCCTTTACTTGAGACTTCACATTGGCAGCTGTCACATTCTGTAATTGGAGCTGTTCGCTGATGCTCATGAATGCTTGCTCAATGGCTTCGATGCTGGTGGATGGAATCCAGAAAACAGAGAGCGTTGGGTCCTGATCTTGAACAGAATAGGCGAGCTCGAGTGCGACCTGAGTCTTTCCCATCCCTCCAAGTCCTGTAATTGCTGCTTTTCGTGGGCTATTCCTGTTCTTCGCGAAAACCATTTTGTGCAGTTGGTCCACTTTACTTTGTCTGCCAATGAAACGAGGGTTTCGGTCAAATGGCACAGTCTGGCATTGCTTATGATCTATTAATCCTTGATCAGCTCAATATTCAGAAATATATTATACCTATAAGAAGAGATATAGGTTTGTCAATGAATGCTCGGGTAACAGAGACATACGGATTATGCTTGATGCCTTCTCGGCAATTTCAATCTCACGGGGTTGCACAACATAGAGAAGCTCCTTAGCATAGCAGGCAGCCACTATGGCAGCATAATCTTGCCAATAGTCATTCTTATGATAGTCTGCATAGTCGCTGATGCCGCGGATGACAAGACAGGGAAAGTTGTTTATCAGACCAGCGGCTTCCATTTCAAAACAGAGTATATCACCGAGCTCTTGCCGCATCTGATCCCTAGCTGTAGCATCCTTGATGACCTTATTTCCAGAGGCAATAAGACCGTAATGAACCACTGGATCAGTATCACGGCGCTGGCCTGATTCGTGGAGGACGTCATGGCTGACCCCTGGGTGAGAGAAGATTGGGTATCTCTGCACCACAGTTGCGAGAAAGTCGAGAAACTTGGGGGGTTGAAGTTTATGCTCTGCTTTGAGGGCATTCAGTACATTGAGTAGAATGGCTGGCGGGGCGTTCAGAAAGCCAGTCCGTTCGAAGAAAGTTCCATAATCCTTGCCCAGGTCATACTGAATCACCCCTCCTGATTGTCCAGAGGGCTGACCGACCACCACATCTCCAAGCCGAATATCGTTATCCTCTGTTGGAATTCCACCACCGATGCCCACTAACAACCCAAATCGAATGCTCTTGAAGCTTGAGCGCATCTGCTGCGCCGCCGTTGCAGCCGAGCCGATTCCGTACTGGCCAGCAGGAAGAGAGGCTATGGTCACATAGTGCTGTTGGATCCTGCCAAGTATGTAGGTATTATCATCATTTGGTTGTAGGTTTCGTGGGCTTTCATGGACCTCATCCAGGACAGCCTTGGCGGCTGCCAGTTCACGAGGGAGAGCACAGATCCAGCCCACGGTGTACCTGTCAGTAGGCATAGAAATAGAAGTCATGTTGAATAGGATGTTTTTTCTGATTTTTCAAAGTTCGGTGGGCGTGTTTTCGCGAGGAAACAGTACTCAGTGAGTTTGGATTCTGAGGATGATTGTCTCCAGGAGCGGGGTTTGAACGAGGTTGGGAATCCACGTAGCCTTGTGTTCTTCCACGAGGCTGAAAGCTCAGCATGCGCCTAAGTATTGGCCAGCCTGGTCAGGCTCTACATACGAGGGTCAGCGATAGCGCTTAGAACCTGATCTAATTGAACCCTGCTCAGGCGTCAAACTGCATACACATCACTTGAGTCTTGTGGTATGCTTTATACATAGAAAATTTGACATTAGCAGCCTATTTCTTAACAGCCTGATGCTGGTCTTCTACTACTTTACTATAGTATATTCTTCATTCTACCTGGACCCTAATATATATACTATATATATAATAGTAGAAAAAGCTGATAGCTTTATACTCTAATCTTTTACTGCTAATATAATAGTAATAGGCTAGAATATTCAATCACTACCTATCTTATATAGATGTTAAAGATTATACTAATGCTTTAATGCATCTAAATGCTTTAAATAATTAGTATAGAACTACTATAGAAAAGACGCCTATAAAATAGCTGCAATCCATCTTCTAATAGATAGCTAGGGATATCTTCAATATTAATATTAATTCACCTGGCATCATTTCATCGCTACACTTATTATAAAACTAAATATAGAGTTCCAGCTGTAGTGGGGCTACTTAAATCAACTCGATCGACTATCAGCATGACGCAAGGCGGGGTTCATAAGAATACTCTCTATCAACAGCTCTATCTCTTTCCCACATCTTCCCCATGGCGTCCCCATTGAGTCTCGCGTCGAGATACAAAATGCAGTCGGGATATGAAATCCCGGTGCTTGGCTTCGGAGTACGTCATTCCTCCTGTTATTATCCATACAGACTTTGACTGCAAGGAGAGGAAGAGAGAATGCTGACCAGATTGCTAATGCAGGTGTATCTAACGTGAGCCAGTCGCTATTCCATGCGTTCATTTCCTCATCTCATCTCTCAGTCCGCCATCCATTACAGAGCGAGTCACCCTGGAAGCCTTCCGGAACGGCTACCGACACGTATGTGTGTCTCTCGAATCGAACCGGGATATTCTGCATACATATTTAAATGGAATCTCTAGGTGGACTCGGCCATCATGTACCGAAACGAAAAGGGCTGCGGGCAGGCGATTTACAATTGCGCGCTCGACCGGTCACAGATCTTCTTCACGACCAAGATCCCACCGGAAGCGATGGGATACGAACGGACAAGAAGGGCGATAGCGAAGAGCCTGAGAGAGGGAGGACAGGAATACTTTGATTTGTAGAATCCAGCTGAATCGCTCCTATATTTTGTCTATTTCTGTCTAACGCGATAGGATTCTTATTCACGCTCCCTATGGCGGCAAAGAGGCGCGTCTGGGCTCGTGGCGCGCACTGGTCGAAGCACAGCAAGCCGGAAAAGTACGCTCGATCGGCGTGTCGAACTACGGAATCCACCATCTCGAAGAGCTGCAAGCGTACATCGATGCCGGGGGTGGGGGCAAGATCGACGTCGGGCAGTACGAGCTGCATCCGTGGCTGGCGCGGCGGGAGATCGTTGCCTGGCTGCGTGCCCATCACGTCGTCGTCGAGGCGTACTCACCTCTGGCGCATGGGACGCGGATGAACGAGTCAGTGTTGAAGCAGCTCGGGGCGAAGTTTGACAAGTCTCCGGCGCAGATTATGATCCGGTGGAGTTTGCAGATGGTATCTTTTTCCTTCTTCTTTTGATTCATTTCATTTCCCGTGCTTATCCTCATTGACAGGGCTTTGTTCCGCTGCCAAAATCGGTGACGCCCTCACGCATCGGGGAGAACAAGGAAGTCTTTGATTTTGAGCTGAGCGTGGAAGATATGCAGAGGCTGGATACGGGGGATTATGCACCGACAGACTGGGATCCCACTGTGGATTATGATTAGTTGGTGGTCATCGTTGTCTATACTAGGTAAAACAGGACAGATGTAGACTCACAGGTACTAGGTGTACCAAGTCACTTGGAAATGCATTTAATGCTCCCCTATCAACTCAAGATACAGGCCCTCTCAGGCGATACTGTAGATCTGGCCGATCAAGCTATCTCGTCTCGTCATCTCCGATCAATAAACGCACTGTATGACGATAGATAAGCGATAAGATCGCCCCCACAGAGAGGTCTCTAGACAGATCGAACGAGAATACTGTCTTCTTAACATCAATCATACCTTCTCGTACATGACTGTACATGACTGTACTTGAATGCAATTGATATAGTCTTTCGCCGAAGTAGGTTGACAAGAGAACATGTCTAAAGACGCCCCGATCGTCATTGTCGGCGCGGGGGTTTTCGGCCTCACGAGCGCCATCCACCTGGCTCGGCGGGGGTATACCAAGATCACCGTGTTTGACCGCCAGCCGTACCATGAGACGTGGTATGATTTCGATAAGGGCTGCGATGCCGCTTCCGCAGGTCGGTAGTATCCAAGGTGGATCATGTTTTTGTTGACTGCACTGACAATGACGGAATAGACCGCAACAAAATCATCCGTGCAGCTTACGGGGATGAAGTTTGGTATCAGAACCTCACATTGCAGGCGATTGACGAGTGGGAGGGCTGGAACGCTACCCTAGCAGCAGGGAAGGACCTCCCCCCGGGTATGACGGCCCAGGACCGCATCTACGTCAATTGTGGCACTTACCGCATGGGCGACGAGTCGTCAACAAGTCTCAGTCCCTTCGAGGAGCGCTCTATACACAACTTGACAGCTGCCGGCAGAGGCCAGACACAGTATCTCCTTCATCAGCCCGGCGAGGTTGCGCGCGCCCGCGCCGACGGGTTCGCTCATGGTATCGATCCGTTCCAGCTGGCCGATAAAACCGACGGCGACGAGGGTGAACACCGTGGATATCTCGACATGATCGGAGGATTTGTGTACGCTGACAAGGCGTGTCGTTTCGCGCTACACCTCGCACAGCAGCTGGGGGTGACGTGTGTGCTAGACTCGCAGGCAGGACAATTTGTCGGATTCGTCGAAGAGGAAAGCAGCGAGCATGGTAGTACAGCAACGAGGAGAGTCGTCGGGATTCGCACAGCGGATGGTAAACAGCACCGAGCCAGCATCACCATCCTTGCCTGTGGCGGCTGGACTCCCAGCCTGCTACCAGCGATGGACGGGCTGTGCGAGACAACCGCCGGGTCGATAGCGACGCTGAGCATCCCCGACTACCTCCGCGAGCGGTTCTCGCCCGACAACTTCCCCGTCTGGCTGTACAGGCAGCCCGGGGGATCTGGCGGCGACCTGTACGGCTTTCCTGTCGACGAGCAGGGGGTGATGAAACTAGGCTATCGCGGTACCAAGTTCACGAATCCGCAGGTACAAGCTGTTGACGGCCGCTTCCGCAGCGTGCCCATCACTCGCTGGACGAGACCAGACAGTATCACAGGCCTGCCGGCGCAGTCGCTGCGCGTCATCCGCGGCTTCCTCGACGCGTATCTTCCAGAACTGCGAGCGAACGGGGTCGAGGTCTCAGACACCCGGTTGTGCTGGTACACGGACTCGTTCGATAACCAGTTCGTAGTCGACAATGTTCCCGGTAGAGAGGGATTGCTCGTCGCCACGGGGGGTAGCGGCCACGCTTTCAAGTTTCTCCCGGTTCTGGGACGGTTTGTAGCCGACCGCGTCGAGGGGATTGACTCGGATCTGTTGAGACGTTGGCGCTGGAGGAAGCTGCAGGAGGGCGAGAAACCGCATAATGGGTTTATGACGGGACCGAGAGATGCAAAGGCGTTGCAGAATGTGCAGTTTGAGGGAGATGTCTCGAAATTGTAATTGAATCAGGAGGAGTACAGAGTAGATAAATGAAGATAAATAGATAGTGGCAGTCGACCAAAAAAAAAAACAAAAAAGAAATCTCTCCCTCGGGGAATCGAACCCCGGTCTCCCGCGCTTATCACGAATGACAAGCGGAAATCATGACCACTAGACCAAGGAAGATTCCACTAGGTTATCCTAGTGACTTGGTGACAGGGTATGGTTTTTATAAAATATAACTGAATTCTGTAAAACATAGACATGCTGTTAGATATGCCACAATTGTCGAATTTGAGTCTATAAAATGACATATTCGAGGGCCACGAATATATATATATACATTTTGACGCCTGATATATTCGGCAAAACCACGAAATTTTGCCATCACAGTAGGAAGTCGTCCAGTTTCGCTATGCACGCGATATCAGCTAGTTCTAGAGAATAGCCAAGACACATGAGAATATATAGTGTTCAATATACAATGACTAAGAGTGTAGCCTTGAATTGCCTTGTATTCCTGTCTCTGGTCTTTCATATTGTTGTTGTCTGGTTGGTATTAAATCAGTGTTGGTACCACTACAGCCTCGGCGGCTCAGGACCGGTGGTTAAATATATATACAGCCAGATGAAGGCTCCTCAAGTAAACAATGCCCACGGGACATAGATAAATATAGGCAACCCACAATACCACTAGTTGGTACAGTGAATTACAAGAATAGAGATCGATCGTCTAGATCAAAGGCCATATATGTACAAATATACACACACATGATGAACCCAGTTCAAAAAACCTACAGCTTGCCCTGGCCGGCGTTGGCAGTCACGCTAGCAGCGACGGCGGTATAGGTGGTAGCAGAGGCGATGGTCTTGCCCTCAAAGTCGGAGAAGAAGCCGGTATCATCCGAGCTGAAGGTACCAGAGGAGCCGAAGCCGTTGATCTCACAGTCGCGGCCGAGGTAGGCGGCGCAAGCCTCGTTGGCGGTGGTGGAGGGGGAGGTGAACAGCTCACCGTCGATGGGCGACTGGACGGGCTCATCGACATTCTGGAAGACGTTGCCCTCGGCGAGGATGTAGGCACCCGAGCCGACCTCGAAGGCGACGCCGGAGTTGTCGTACCAGTAGTTGTTGACCGCGTGCAGGAGGGTGTTGCCGCCGACCTTGGGCGACCGGCCGCTGGTGTGGTAGATGTAGTTGCCCTTCATGGTAACCATGTCGCTGTCGCCGTCCAGGTAGATACCCCAGTAGGTGTAGCCATCGCAAGTCGCCGAGTAAGAAGTCACTCCGTTGATGTAGTTGTTGGAGAGCGTCACGCGGTTGTCGGCGCTGGTGCCCAGCACGATGTGTTGGCGACCGATACGGGCAGTCTAAAATGATTAGCATAGAGGGACTAATACTAACCCACTGGAGAAAAGCAGGCTTACCGTAACGTGGTCAATCCAGATCAGGTCAGCGTCGTCGACGGTAATAGCATCACCACCCCACACGTACTCGGGGTTGATATCGGTAACGGCGATGTTCCTGCATTGGTTAGAGACTCCACACACAGATCCGTGTTTTGGCTGACGTACTGGACGATGACGTTGGTGGCACCGCTGACGATACGGAGACCCTTGCCCTTGATAATACCGCTGGAGCCCTCACCCAGGATGGTCTTGTCGGAGGTGACGGCGATACCGAGGATACCGGCATTGTCATAGGTCACTGAAACGGAGGGAGCATCGGGCTCGTAGTTCTCGCACCAGTCGTCCTGGTCGATGGCCACCTGGCACCCGGAGGCGGTTCCCCAAGGGGCGCAGCCGGTGGAGGTGGTGGTTCCCTCGGTGCCGGTGAAGTCGAAGGTCTGACTCAGCACAACAACTCGCGCCTCGTCGTCGCCGAGGTATGAGACCAGCTCATCAATGGTCGTGGGGTAGACCGGGGTGGCATCGCCGCCGCCAGTGACGCCCGAGGCGAAACCCTCAGCAGAGCCGGAGACGCTGACTGCGGCAGCAGTGGAGAAAGCCGTGGCAGCGGCAGTGAAAAGAGTGACGTACTTCATGGTGAAGTGGTGTAACAAGTATGAAACGAACGAATGAAAGTGAGTGCAGAAGGAAGAAGGAACGAAGGACGCGTACACAGACGGGAAGGATGCAGGGATCGACGAGAGCAGCACCAGGGTTTATATGTCGACCGAGATCCCAGAACCAAGAGTGTAATTTCGGCGCATTCTCCCTCCTTCTCTTCGACGTCCGCGCCAGCGTGGGCACGATTTGCAATAGATTGTTGGCGTGGCGGGTCTTAATGCACTCATTAAGCACCTGAAGTCTGGGCATCACTGTGAACATGACAGCCGCATATTGTCTGCCTCCCTAGGAATAAAGCGACAGTGGACCAAAGATCCAATGACAGCCCGTTCGATCGTTGGACATGGGTCTAGCCAGCGGTTCTCATAGAGCTCGTGAGTCGCTGGCGGTCGTTCGATCCATTGCGAAGCTACTTCTTCTGAAACGCCAAAACTTCCACCAGCTTGGGGAGACGTCGCTATTGACGGGCCGGCGGAAGTTTCTCACTTATTTCACACACCGGGTCGGAAGACTATTTTTTTCATTTGCTGTTTTGGGCCTTGAAGGAAATTCCATCGAACGAAACCCTGCAGGAATACGAACACCGTCAGCTACTCAACGCTTTTTAGAGGGCAGCACCAGTATGATCTATTCCAGGAAGGGAAAGAAAGGGCTACTTTTAACAGATTCCATTCTGCAGGGTCTGCTGGCTCCGTCTGTGGCGTGCTTCAGATTTGGTGCAGTCTAGACGTCTCCATTTCGGAAGCTCGCCGACGATACTCGGAAGTTACTAATAGTAACCAGATTGAATCTCGAAACCCTGGTGGGTCGCAGACTCCTGAGATCATGTTATTTAATGTCACTTGACACGGCTTTGGGGTCCGAAAGCATACTCACTCCAGAGGGGGCAAAGAGCCATGGAAAGACGCGAAAAGGTTGTTTTGTTGATCTTTGTCGGTTGTTTTCCTCGACTCTCGACTTCGACTTCGACTTCGAGTCTTGGTGGTCAGATGACTTGTGTCAGCTGACAGCCTGACAAGCGTTGAAAGCGTCGCTTTTCACTTTCAGTTTCCCTCTCGGTCGCTCTCTTCACTCTGACCACGGCGCGTCTGCTGTCAACAGCACGCTTTACATCGAGAATTATCTATGGAGTAGAAATACGTGATTTGGTTTCTAATAGCAGCATGAGCTATAAGCTGTGAGCTTTATCGAGAGGTGTCGTCCGAATAACGATTCTCTAGGAACGATTAACAGCGATCGAAGTCTCGTTCACCGATCGGACCCTCGACTCCTGAATACAATAACAAGAAACTCTACTCCAATTTATATATTCCTCATGTCTTACGCGTTCTAGGTAGGTTTAGAGCGCCGCTGGATGATTCTCGAGGATGTCTGGGGTTCACAATGGTGCTGGGGTGGCCAGGGGACTCGTGCAACCGATGGCTGGCCGCAGGTAGATTGAATTCCGACAGTTCTTGTGCAGTATGTATGGAGAACTCCGTGCTGTTCTATGTAGTAAATCTTCATGTACCTAATATCTAGGTTCCATGATATTTCAGTCTGTCGAAATCTCACTTCTATTCCCTGATGGAATCAACGAGATCCATATTTCAACTACTGGAGATCTAGACCAGTAGACTTTACCAAGAGGTATTTATAGTACCTGCCATGAATACCTAAACTACCATTGAAATGCTTAGCAACAATCACGTTCCTGAAATTCACAATTTATTATTAACCAACTATTGGAAATAGACCCATGGACCCTGGCGGGCGGGAGTGTTGGTTGAGGCAGCAACATAACAGAGACTCACTGATTGGCAGAGGGACTCGGCCCAGAGCACTCTACAGCAATTCCCACCAATCGTCCAAAGGTCAAGCTCACACTAGACTTGGTGACGGGCCGAAACGTTTCACGCCTAACTGGAACAAGTTGGATGGTTTGGAAGTCTCTAGGCGATTAAGCAAAGGAGTCTTTAACTATCTGACGCTTGCTCAGCTCTCCTCTTTTTCGAAAGTACTTCCTCTCTTCGTACCAGACAAATGGCAGCATTGGACCCCAAGACCACGCGCTTGAGCTCACTACAATTGAGAAAGACTCTTGACACAGCTCATTCCTGACCATACTCGAAGTTCCCTTCAATTCATTGGTTCTGCTGATCGTGATCCCTTCATCGACTTCCGGCTCACTAACCCGTTCCCTTGTCCTGCCGACGAGACGAGAAAACAACACTGAATATCTTGCTCATCGATATTTGAACCAGCCTGATAACATGTCTCCTCGCCGCTCTATGAAGCAATGCATTCTCCTGTTCGCTCTTTGCATAATCGGCATCCTAGCGAAGGAATGCGGGACTGTCTCACAATGCGAGCTGGGCTGCATCGATGGGCTGTTCTATGAGCGAAATACCCCCGGCACCCAGACATTCGTATGCAGCACGAGCCGCCGCAAATCCCGAAACGACTGGTACATCGGATACTGCGGGGAATTCGACGCCACGACGTTCGCCTGCGCGAGTCTGAGTGGCGAGTTGCGATGCAACAAATGCATGTTCGAGATCCGACCGGGGAGCTCGCAGGACGACATCTTCAGTTTATGGCTGCAGAGCTGCAATACCACCGGGACGGAGGCGGGGTTCTCGCTCTCGAACCCGATGGGAAAGAGCGAAGCTATGGGGAAGCTGACGTGTGCGATGCTGGTGGAAGATCTGTCATCGCAGGAAAACACGAACGAGCAGGGAGAATCATCTTCAGACTCAGACGAAGCAACCGACATTTGAATACCACGTTTCTTTCCGTCGGATCATGGATGTATATGAATTTTTTGTTTATAGCGAATATTTCGATAGATCTCTCAATCTTAATGCCCGGTTTGACTAGTCCCTGACATTGAGATCTCATCATTCTGTCGGATTGATCGAGCCGATCTAGCCGACTAGCTGTCTGACTGCCAGGATTTCTAGTTGGCCAGAACTCATGGAAGAGGTGAGAGTTCTCAATGCTAATTCTCGATGATCTGAGGAATGCCCGAGGCAAAAGGCGGCTAGAAAGGCGGTCAGGAATATTGACAGAAATTTGGGGTCTCCGATCGGCGCGGATCAAACCGGCCAATCAAATGTCCTTTTGTATCTCCGACATTGCGATAACGGCCGCTTCTTATCTGGAAGGAACAGTCAGGCCGACCACCCACTACAGACGAGACCGTCTCCTGGTTCTCGCTCCTTCTTCCTGCTATTTCTAATCCAGACCTGACAGTGTTTTGTCGTGTGTGGCATTGTTGGTGGTGCTTGGCTTGGTCTCCCCTTGACGAGAGCTGGAATCTTAGTCTCTCTCTTTCTCTTCCTTCAAGCCTCCACACGCGACTCTCCACTGGTCGCTGCATATACACGCTTAACGTCGTTTACGGTCTTTCATTGAAAGGAACGCTACCGACCATGACGAGACAATCAGGGCCGCAGGTCTGCGATATGGAGAAGCAGGTGAGTAATGCGGTGGTAGAGTGCTTTTGACGAACCGCAAGATAACTAACAATCCAGTAGCCTCTGCTCCCGTCTCGATACCCTCCTCTGGTCGAAGCTCCTGCCGGCTCTCCCACTCTTGACACAGACCTTCATCGGAAACAAGAATGGCTCTCGGTGTGGAGTTTGCTCAGAGTTACGTTTCTGGCGATACTGGCTTTGCTCTTGCTGGCGGTGCATCTGCCAAGTGTGTATTCACTGCCTCTCGAGTCGGAGTCTCATCTAGAAGTGGTATCGCAGACCCCTTTACAACACATTGAGGAGGGCAAACTAGGTGCGGTCGCGAGTGAAAGTGCCATCTGTAGTCGTCATGGGACAGAGATGCTGAAAATGGGCGGCAATGCCGCTGATGCGGTGAGTACTAGTCACCGGTGGAAATGGAGACTCTTTTACACGGCTGGCTTGCTTTTTTACTGACACGGGTGATATAGCTGGTCGCGGCAGTATTTTGTGTGGGAGTGATCGGTAAGTGCTCACGCCATTGCCACTAAAATGACGGCCGAGACACCCCTCGATGTAGGACTGACCGTCGATCCTGTACTTCTTAGGAATGTACCATAGTGGTATTGGCGGTGGTGGCTTTATGCTTGTTCGAGCACCGAACGGAAGAACATATGAGTTCATCGATTTTCGAGAAACGGCGCCCGCGGCGGCGTATGAGGACATGTTTAAGAATAACACCCTGGCTTCGGTTTATGGAGGGTTGGCAAGGTGCGTCTCCCTGCTTGTATACATAGGTAATAGTGTACAAGTGTTGACGGCCGGCTGTCTAGTGGTGTTCCGGGTGAAATTAGAGGTCTCGAGTATCTGCATAGGAATTATGGCGTTTTACCATGGTCGACGGTGTTGCAACCGGCGATCAAGACTGCTCGCGATGGCTTCCCGGTGTCGGAGGATCTGGTCAGGTATATGAAATCGGCAGTTAGCAGCGAGGAGAATGATTTTCTTTCTCAGAATCCCACCTGGGCCCTGGATTTCGCACCTAATGGAACCCGACTGGGATTGGGAGATACCATCACACGGAAACGTTATGCGGATACCCTCGAGACGATCGCGGAGCAAGGTCCGGATGCCTTTTACACTGGACCGATCGCTCAGACAATGATCAATGCCGTTCAGGCTGCGAATGGGACGATGACTCTGGACGACTTGAAGGATTACAACGTTGTCATCAGAAACGTCTCGCAAATTGACTACCGTGGATACAAGATTGCGAGTACCACCGCACCGTCCAGTGGTATTGTAGCGTTGAGCATTTTGAAAATCCTGGAGACATACGACGATTTCTTTGCACCGGGAACCGTCAATCTCAGTACCCATCGTATGGATGAGGCGATGCGGTTTGGATACGGACAGGTTGGTGTGCATATCTCCGTATGGATTTCCAGATCTGACCATGGCAGAGAACACACCTCGGGGACCCAGACTTTGTCGACGAGCTGGACGAATATCAAGATTACATGCTGAACCAGTCAACCGTTGATCATATCCGAGGCAAGATCTCGGATTTCCACTCGCAAAATGTCTCCGCATACGACCCCGATGGGCTTGAAAGTTTGGAAACGTGAGTATTCTTTTTTGCCCTACTTTCCAACATGTTCAATCAAGCTGATAATCTCAGTCACGGTACATCCCATATTGCCACAGCAGATCATTCTGGGATGGCCATTTCCCTGATCTCAACGGTCAATCTATTGTTTGGAAGCCAAGTGATGGTCCCCGAGACTGGTATTATAATGAATAACGAAATGAATGGTATGTCCTGCAGCAGAAGCTGCCTAGGATCTCTTTGCGAGACGTGACTGACCTCATTTAGACTTTTCCATCCCCGGAGCCTCGAATGCATTTGGGTTTATTCCCTCGCCGGCGAACTATATTCGTCCTGGGAAACGCCCACTATCATCCTGTACCCCGGCCATTGTCACTCGCCCTGACGGGTCGCTTTACCTGGTCGCCGGTTCTGCTGGAGGAAGCCGGATCATCACCGCCACCATCCAGACCATCATACACACCATTGACGAGGGCCTCTCTGCTGCCGATGCGCTGGCTCGTCCTCGCATGCATGAACAGCTCGTCCCCGACCAGGTGTTTTTTGAATACGCTTACGATAATGAGACAGTCGCCTTCATGGAAGCACGCGGTCACAACGTCTCCTGGATTCAGCCGTATCTGAGTTCGGCGCAGGCTATTCGCATGCTCCCAAACGGGACCTTTGACGCGGCGGGAGAGCCGAGGCAGTTGGCCTCCGGAGGCTTTGCTGTATAGACTCATAGAGCATCTTTTTTCTTGGATATAATTATATAGAATGGGCCGCAGAAATCCATTACTCATCATAGTTCTTGTCTAACCGACTATAGACTGGCGCGTCAACCCCAGAGCCCAGACTTCTTATCAATCACGTGGTGATATGCCAAAAATAATACGCGGATACCATCTGGATTGATTCACTGCGCTGAGCATTGCCAGGAAAAATGACACGTCGAGTGCCCTGTTCACTCATTTGTGGGCCTCTTGATTGAATTTTCTTTCTAAGATCTGTTTCTATAATCCTTTTCTTAAGTATTTCCCTTTCAACTGACCGCTATTTGCTGGTTTTGATGGAGGTTTGATCTGCTTAGACCTTCTGGTCTCAAAGAGTTAACACCTCACATTGGAATTGTAACTGGTCAAACAAAAGCAAAACCTATTTTGGGGGATACCTAGGTTTTCTATCGGACCACTCCTGGATCACTTCTTTGACTGGCCTCATGTCTTATAAAGGGCAGCCTGGTATCTCTGTCATGATTAATCCTCCTACCGTCAACATCACTCTCTACAGCCCTCTGGATGAGGATTCTCCTTCTCTTCAAGACAAATCAACCTTTCCCGAAGACGAGAACAGTGAAGAAGATACCTCTCTTCAACCCGAAGGCGACAACGGGGGAGTATTAAATGCAATGACTCGACGACATAGCGCCAGAATGGATACAGAGGAGGAGGAGGATACTGCCGCCTGGAATGCCTTGCCGGGATGTCTTCTGTCTGACAACGAGGTAATCGAAGAAGAAGACCGTATTCTGGCCTGTGTGTCTCCCGAACTACGCGAACCTCTACTTCGGTTTATCTCTTCCCACCCGTTCATCTCCGACTGCGAGGCAGGTCTCCCTGTGACGTTAGCTGCACGGGACGGCTTCAAGGCAGATGTTCGCAGGAAAGCTATCGCAGCAGGCATGAAACGCAAAAGCAATATTACAGACCTGCTAGTGTACGTTACCAAGATCTACGTCGATGTCGTCCCTGTCTTGGTGGAAATGCAAACGGGCAAGAAGCGGAAGCGTGTCAAGGAGAAACGGGCGAAAAAGTCACAACGGTTGAAGGAGAATCCACCCGAAAGCCCCCTACAATCGGATAATTCTCCTCTACCGACTCCTGATGAATCCGTGGGTGATGATCTCGACGGGGGATTCGAAGCATCTGGATCGGATCCCGGGCAAGAAGGAGATACCCATGATAGCATCTTCTCGACTCGTCTCCCGGAGGATCAGCAGACAGATGTCTCTGTTGATGTCGCGAATCAGCCGCCAGCCATACCACGCTCCTCCGGTTACGTGCCTGACGACCAGCTAACGGAGCGCCAGCTGATCAGAAAAGAGAGTAACCGCCGCAAGAGAAGGAGCCGGAAGCTGCGGAGAGCCCTTCGGAATCGTATGAATCAAATCAAGGCGGACGATGAAGGAACGGGGATTCCCGAATCTGAACAGGAGGATTTTTGATAACCGGTGATTTGCACGGCGTCGTCGCCGGCGAGGAGGTGAAGTCAAAATACTTTTGCGCCACACGAGTTCTCGAACCCGTTCCCGAACAGAAAACAACAACACATCAAGAAGTCTCCATACCCAACACTTTCCTACACGATGTCGGTTCTCCCGATAGCGATTTGAGCGACGTTCCCGACGACTACGAAGACAACCGCCCGGCATACTGGACGCCTCCCGGGACGCCTCCACCGACGAAGAAGATAAAGCTGAAACAAGAAACTCCGCGCAGACCAGCTAAGACGTCCCGATTTTTCCCTGACGAGTGCCTCCCCGCAGCCTCATGCCAGCCCTTCCCGCCGATCACGAAACCAACGTTTGGACTGGTACAAGAACAGCTGGCACACGATCCGTTCCGGCTGCTGATCGCTACCATCTTCCTCAACCGCACGCGAGGCAGTGTCGCCCTGCCGGTTCTATGGGAGGTTTTTGCACGGTACCCGACCGTGGAGAGTATGGCGTCTGCCGAGTTTACAGAGCTGGTATCGATGATCCGCAGGCTAGGGTTCCAGAACCAACGGGCCCGCAAGTGCATCGCGCTGGCGCAGACGTGGCTCGCTCAGCCGCCTACACGGAGCAAACGCTACCGGCGCCTGCACTACCCGCGTCGCGGTGATGGACGCGATCTACACCGTGACGAGGTACTTGACGAGCACGATCCCCGTCTCGGGTGGGAGGTGGCCCATCTGCCTGGTGTGGGCGAGTATGCACTTGACAGCTGGCGGATCTTCTGTCGCGATGAGCTGCGCGGACTCGCGCACGACTGGAAGGGAGACGGTGCGACGGAGGGGGCGCAGCATGTCCCGGAGTGGAAAGCTGTGGTTCCGCGCGACAAGGAGCTGCGTGCGTATCTGACCTGGATGTGGCTGAAGGAGGGGTGGGAATGGGATTTTGCAGGGGAGAGACGTCGAGCTAGCAGGGCGAGAATGCGTGCTGCGTTGGTGGAGGGGACGGCGTACGAGGTCGAAGGCAGGTACATTGTAAACTAATCCATCATATCTGGGAGTTGTAGATAGCATAATAGATAGAATTGGGCTTATTCTGGCACCCACCTCTTCCATCGAACTGACCTGTATTTCGTCCCTTGACACGGCTATACCATTTGCCTCCTAGAACAGCCTGAGGGAATGTTGTCACTGCATAGGTACCTACATAGTCGAAGGGAGAGGAGAGGTTGTACAGCGTCTTCGGACGTCACCACGACACCTGATATACCAGGCACCAAGATGACTCAGCCACTCACGTGCCGTCCCAAAAGAGCCCTGCGAGGCTGCAGGCATCAATTACAATCACGGCCAGCAGCTGAACAGGCGCTTCACCTCCTTCCATCGTCTTCTGCGGCATCCAGACCTCTCGTTTTGCTTCCACACACTGCCCACTCCTTCCAAGCCCCCGTTTCCATCGAGAACCCCCTTCTTCTTCTCCTGCTCGACCACGTCACGACGACTTTCGCCCTGGCGGGGACGCTGCGCTGCTGAGCCCACCGTGGGGAATCTCTCACCGCACAAGTGACCCAGCCTCAGTCTCTTCCTCAGGCACCGACTCAAACTGGTGATCTTTTTTCTCTCTCTCTCTCTCTCTTCTTCTCTCTCCTCTCTGTTTTTATCTCTCCTTGACCCTCAAACGATCGCATCTTCATTCTTCTCCGTGACGGGATGCCATATCCTCTCGTGAACACCGGCTCGACCAGTGACGACTGCATTCCACACGCAACTTAAGCGCCCGACTGGGTGGCCGTCAGGCACAACACAGCTCTCAACGTCTGCAGGAACAATTCTAGCCCTTTTACGTGGCATCCCCTGGACTATTCACAGCTCGCTCCTCACCACCATCTCCCCCAATACCGGACGATTGATTTGTACCCTTCCCACCTCTCCCACACCGCAGATGCGTCATGTTCCCCGTCAGACCTAATGAGCGAGATCGTGACAGGGACCGGGCGAGAAAATCCACCTCCTCGTTGGTGTCGTCAGGGACGAAAGGCAAGACCAAAGCTAAGGATCGAGACCGAACCATAGATCACAACCGCTCGGCCCGCAGCAGCGCAACCAGGGATCACGGCCGAGGCTCGACCGTTTCGACCGCGACGGCGACTGTGACTGCACCTTCCACGGCCAGCACCACCACCAGCACCATCAGCACCACCACTTGCCAGCGACGATCCTCTATGCCGGGCATTGACACCGCCAGCAGGCCTATGAGCGCCTCCTCCTTCCTCGAGTCTCGTACTAGTCTGCCCTATCCGTCCTTCTCCAAGGCCCACAGCAAGGAGGCTGTCGGCAAGCCTGGCATCCCCACGCCGGATCCCACCGATCTGACCGATGCCCATCCGGAAGAGAAGCGTCAGGCCAACGGCAACCACAATAACCAGACAGAGCATCACAATGCCCCGCCCAGTCCGCCGTTGACTGGGGTGGACCAGCCGGAGGAGGGTCGCAGATCCCCACCCAGACCAGCCGCTTCTACTACAGAGGAAAAGCCCAAGCAACCGGCCAAGACCAAGTTTCGTATCCGAACCGAGTCGACGCGATCCTCATCTAGCCTGCGGACCAAGAAGGAGAACAATACCACTGCTACTAATAATACAGCCAAGGCATCCCCTTCCCAACCGGACACCCCCACAAAGATCAGACTCCAACAGACCGAGCGAGATGCCGCCCCCTCGCGCACGACGAGCCACAAGACGTCCAAGTCGACTGCTCTCAAGGATGAGGTTCGACTCCCGAAACGGTCTGCCAGCCATGCGACCATGTCTTCGCCGTCGCGCTCCTCGCTGCCTCTGCGCGATGCGGCCGTCGAATCCGTCGCGAACGACTCCTCCGATGCCACCTCGATCGCTCCGAACCAAAACCCGACCTACCAGAAACCGATGACGCCGCCTCAGAAGCCGCCGTCGCGCACCCAGAACCGTTCGTCTACCTCCCACCGGTCAAGTCGAGGAGGAGGAGGAGGAGGAGGCAGCGCGGCCGTTTCCCCCGCCGCGGTATCCTTTTCCGACGCCGCAGCTTCTCGCTCCCCGGCAACCAACTCGGGATTTGGCGCGCCGCCACCACCCCCGCCGCCGCCTGCATTACCCGGTTCAATCCCGCGCGTCGACTACCTCCTGCGTAATGGCGGGCTGCCCGACCGGGTCCCAAAGTCCCTACTGGCTGCCGCCCGACCGGACGCACCCCTCTTTCAACCAAACGTCTTGGCTGCTCACGTCTTCGAGCCCTTCCATCGTCTGCTGAGCGACTACAACAATGTGATGAGTGGCAACGGCTCGCTGGCCGTAGCTACGGGGTATCGATCGGTCGCGCGTCGGCTTCTGGACCGGCTGGAGGCGGTGTTTGCGCGCGATATATCATGTGAGGCCTGTGACTGTCTGATGTGCGCGCACGAGGACCCTGAAAATCGCGAGTCCGGTGTCAGCTGGGGGGAGGTGTTGGAGCTGGTCTCGGGCCGTCGTTTGCTGCCCAGCTGGCCGCCTTTCAGTCTTGCTCCCTTTATGCTTGATCCCGTCTCATCCGCCGAGGAGCACATCCCCATGCAGAAGCTCGATATTGACGTGCCGGAAGAGTACCGTGAACACTACATCCGACAGTCTCGCAAGACAAAGCTAGCTGTCGACCAGTGGCTGGCCGAGCAGACCGAGCAGACCACCAGCCCACCCGACGAGGTCGATGACGAGACCCTCACTTTTGCCATGATGACGCATCTGAGTGCCGACGAGCGCGCCCTGTTCTGTGCGCTGTTGGGGATTTCCAACACCACCACCAAATCGCCGGCTCCTAAATCCGAGCTTCCCCCGACCCCACGTCACCGACCGGCACCCCTACTGTCCGCCGCGGGGGGGATCCAACGCCTCTACCGACTGCCCACGCAGCCTCGCGACCCGGAAACGGCGATTTTCATGCTCAACAACCCGAGTATCCACCACGTTCTGGCCACCCTGGCGGCGATCAGCGACGACGAATGGGAGATCCTGGTCTCCGGGCGGTTCGACGGATTCCTGCGCAGCGGCGCCGAGGACGACGTCCCGTCACGCTGGAACACGCGTTCCGCACCGGGGGTCCCAACCCGCGGCTCGACGCCCAGCCCGATGGACAGCGGCGTGGGCGGGTGGGGTCCCCGACCGGCCAGCCAGCCTCACGGCGACCACGCCTCGGCGTCGTTTGGCGGACCGATCGCGTTAGACGAGGAGAACGAGATCGCAGCGCTGGCGGAGATCGAACGGGAGATCTTCGCGGGGATGGAAGCGCTGGAGGACGCGTTCGAGGCGCTCCATAACAAGGCGGAGGTTGTGCGGCTGGCGCTGCGCGAGCGTGGAGCGGGACTCTCCGTCGCGAACCAACGACGAAGGGGGTCCACGATGGAAGCCCGACTGGGCACGCCTGCGTCTGCGCCGTGGGAGAGCGGCCCCGAGGACGACGGGATCGACGACGACCGATCGCTGGCGCCCGACGACTCGGCGAGCAACATCAGCTCGAACCGGCGGCGACGACCGAAGCGACGCACGGAACGCCGCACGCCGGCCCCGGTCGAGGAGGAGGATGAAGAAGAAGAGGAAGGGTCGCATGGTGGTCGGCGGGATCGGGACCATCGCCGGTCATTACGGAGGTAGATTCCTTTTTATAGTGTTACCTGGGGCACATGTATTTAACTGTTGATATCCCGCTTCATTTCCTACATGGCCACACCTGTGGCGTCATGATGTCTATGAGATATGAATACATTGATGAACAAGTCGAGGTGGTAGTAATGTCGGTAGAGTACATATAGTCCATACTTAGGTGCACTATCTCGTGTCTACGATCTAACTAGTGTAGACAATCTCGGGCCGACGGAAGGATTTAGATATGGTATTTACTATTTCGTCTGAAAGGATCATCATATCTGGTAAACTACCAGTAGCATAAATGCCTCATGGCCATCAACAAGCATGTAGAAGAGATTAGGGGCTGGTCGATTGACAAACATAGAATGGACTCTGAGCTAGGAGTTAGTAACGAAGTAGTGGTATAGACGGAGTACGAAGGACTGACTCGGTGCTGCAGTAGTTGGAGCACGTACTACTAGCCATAGTACTACTACAATCTTACTTTTCGGTCTTATTGACAGATTGGACAATCTAGCAGGGTGATATTTTAGTGTAAACCTAGTTTGGAGAGGAGTTTTTGGCACTTTCCACTATGTATGTAGTGTAGGTAGTTTATGTACTCTCAGTGCATACTGTCCAGTACTAGGTAGACTCCAGTGTATACTCTAGGACTCAGGAGGAGTCCAGTCATGTGCTGCACGTGAGTCGATGTCGTACCTTCCTTCACTTCCAAGTTCCAACGAAACCAACGACAACTCCCTTCCCACCACAACCGACACCACGGAGATTCTACGATGAGACAGAACCTGGGTAAGCCCTGTCATTGAGATTGAGATTTAGATGACTACAAGACCACATCTACATACTCATAGGTCTGTCTCACCATCCGCTTCGGCCGAACGGCAACCGTTGCTCGCGTCACGCCACTGGCTTGACCATCCCACATGAGTCTTGTCCAGCAATAACAAGGAGTACACAAGGAAGAGTAGTACTCCGTACTATATCATGTGTTGTGTGTACTGGACACTGGACATCAGGGAGTCTCGGAAGTCAGAAGAACAGTCAATAGTATACTATGAAGTCCTTACTATCTACACGATGAATCGCTGACATTATTTAGTCGATCACGTCTTGCAATCGGTCAATAGTGCCCTCGGCTAATCAATCCTACGGACTGGAATAATGGCGACCTCGTATTCCTGGGGAAATCTCCGGTGGGTCGTCCCAGGGGCTCCACCATCAGCAATCCCTCTTTGGCCATGGATTTTCAGGAGGTTAGCTGTCATGACATCTGCCTGTCTTTCTACTCGGCACTTGACTGTTGATCGACTGTTCAGCCAGAGCAATGGCCTCGTCGTTGCTTTCGATAGTCGCACCGCACGGATGGCCATTACTTGCAGTCTTTTTATACTTTGTACTGAGTACTAAAGTGTACTGAATATGGGTATGAATACTTGTATGGGTACTCCGTATGTTATGCCTACGGAGAAATTCTAGAACTTGCATGCATGTGGACTAGCAGCCACAAGCTCTCACCGTCACGGTCAGCTGCAAGTCTACGGAACTCGTGCCTGACAGATCCCGGCACAACGGCAATCAAGGTTGTGGCGGAATGCTCCAGATGATAGCAACGCAGGTTTCAGGCCCTGGCAGTATCTACCACTAGTCAGTATGGAGCATGTTTTTCAAGGATCAGACCTTCTTACCGGGAAATGATAGGCCCCTATCGCGACTCGATATTCCGAACCTTCGCAAATAGTCCATGTACCATGTAGTAATGCGTACAGGGAACTAACAGTGGCTTGGGCTGCCCCCAATCAGGTCAATGAGATCCCCGTCGCCTTCCTGGTCGGCCATTATTCCTCTTCTGGAGAATGGAAAGCTTGAAAGTGGACGCTTGGATTACGAAGTACTCGGCATGCTCCTGGTAGTGTTGCTGGAATTTATTCTCTGGTATCTGCCTCTCTCTCCTGGATTGTCAGTCAGCTTTGATTTTCATTGTTTGTCCTTTGTCTACATCGATTCAACTGCTCGCTCTTTTTCTTGTTTGGGAGGAGTCCTCGCTGATCATCTCGCTAGTCATCTCACAGTGGGTTCGTTCATCTTGCGGGGGAGGGCCTGGTATCTCCACTCAGGAAGGGGCTAAGCTTGCTCGCTAACGCATCGACCAGATCTATCTCGGGATATTTGGCGCTGTATATAAAATAAGGTCCGGGGAGAGGGAATGATTGAGGCATCTTCACCACCGCACCGCACCCCACGATGAACTTGCTACCACGAGACAGATCGTGGTTGAGCCAGTACAACATCGGCGGCCCTCTGCCTGTCGATCAACGGCATGGCTTGCTTGCCATCACCATCATGGCCCTCGGGTCGACGTTGGCCACCGTCGGCCTGCTGATATTCATCACCTATCGCCTGATCTTCTGGCGCAAGAGCTTCTCGCGCTACATCGGCTACAACCAGTACATCGTGCTGATTTACAACCTCATCCTGGCTGATCTACAACAATCCTTGGCCTTTCTCATCTGCCTCAAGTGGCTCAAAGACAACGAGATCGAGGCCGACACCGCTGCCTGCTTCCTGCAGGGCCTCTGGCTTCAGATCGGTGATCCTGGCAGCGGCCTCTTTGTCTTCGCCATCGCCGTACATACCTTTCTGCTTGTCATCTGGGGCCACAAGCTCAGATATCGCATGTTTGTGGCAAGCATCGTGGGTATCTGGGTATTCATCCTCATCCTGCTGCTCATTCCACTGGCTACCCATGGCCGAGACGTTTTTGTCCCATCCACCACCTGGGTGAGTCTCTCTCTCTCTCTCTCTGTGTGTGTGTATTTTCTGACGAACAGTGTTGGATCAATGCCAAATATGAACCCATGCGTCTGTGGACACATTATCTCTGGATCTTCCTGGCCGAGTTCGGCACAGTGTGTCTGTATGCGATCATGTTTTTCCAGCTACGACATCGTATTGCCCAGTCAGCCATCCTGGGCAGCGCACACATCGAGAGCCTGAAACGACTGCGCCGCGTGGTCGGCTACATGGTCATCTACCCGATTGCCTACCTCATCCTCTCCCTACCACTGGCGGCGGGTCGCATGGCCCTCGCCCGCGGTGACTCCCCCTCAGTCCTCTACTTTTGCGTCGCGGGTGCTATGATGACCAGTTCCGGCATGGTGGACGTTACCCTGTACACGCTCACGCGCCGCAGTCTGATCATTGACTCCGAACCGAGCGACGACCGCAGCTACCCGCGTGCCTACGGGGAGAGGAAGGGCGCCGCCACCGCACTGTCAGTCCTCAGCGGCGGCGACCCGACGAGTCGCCGGACCGAGATCAGCGCTATGCGCAGCCATAATATGCCGGAAGGCGACGACGACGGCGACGACAACCACTCGATTCGGTCTACTCCGCCGCGGCACGGCTCTACAGATCGTATCGTCGCCACCCCGGCCGTCGTCGAGCTGGCGCCCATGACCAAGGTGTACCAGCACACCACGATTGAGATCACCACCGAGCCGGCGTATCCTTCTGCCCAAGGTGATGGCGGGAATCCCCCGTTCCAGACGAGGGGGAGGTCATCTCCATCACGGTGGTGAATTTCATTTCTTCTTACTTTTTTGCCATATACCATCTTTGCTCGTTGTAATATACTTTATAGACTTGATACTGTACTAGAATCACGAGTACTATGTAGTCCAGCGTATGTCAGTATCAGTGCTGAGTGTATTTCTATATGCACGTGGCATCCCAATTGGGAATTAGGGCAAGATAATAGGGCTTCCCCTGTCATCAGATGCCAGAGCAAAAGGCAAAGCAGGAAACTACAAACTCCCCCTCCCCTCCATCAAGACAACACACGCCTGTGCAATCCGATCGACAATCTGCTGCACTGTCTCCGTCTGAGCACCGCTGCAATCATGCTGTACCCCCCTTTCCCACCGATAATAAGCCATCGAGGCTGCCGGCAGGACGTACGCGACCTCCGAGTGATCCGTGGCCGCGACCCGACGTTCCGCCAGGGCAACGAATCCGTCGATGGCCGTGACGAGGTTCGTCTGTAGGGCAGGGATATGGGCGACGAGATTGGCGGGATCGAGAGCTACAGACGCAGAGAGCGAACCGATGAGCTGCGAACAGAGGTACAGAGCTGCTGGGAGGATGTCGTTCTGGAAGAAAGAAGAATTGGTCTGTACGAGGATGACGAGGGGGCAGGCCCCGTACGGGAATGGGTGGTCTGCTGTTTGTGGAGAATTCTCATCCACACAGCAGAAGTGAGAGACGATGCTTAGGGCAGTCGAGAGACAGATGTTCTGTGAATAGCTTTTAAGGTGAGAATCGGTGAGGGCAAACGGACAGTGTACGGCGAGGAGGGTCCGTTGGTACACGAGTCTGACGTATGCTTCAAGGAAAGAAGAAGAAGAGGAAGAAGAGAAAGAAGAAGCGGTGGAGGATGGACTGGCCATCATATTCGACAGTTGACTTGTCAAGTCTTGAGCGAGGGCATGGTCGGCGTCGAACCGGGGCTTGTTGAGCCAGTGAGCGATCTTCATCCGCAGCGGGAGGGAGCGGTCGAGCGCCGTCTGCTGCACGCGCAGATTCTCCAGCAGCCAGGGATTTTGTATCTCCTCCTCTCCCGTTTCTATCACCATCGGAACCGTCTCGTCTGGTTGCGGGGGCAGACTCTCCCACTCGCCCAGGTAGATGGGTTGCATGCCTGCGTCGAGCGCATACCGCACGTCCAGCTCTAGCACAGCGTACCAGATGCGCCGACGGCGTTCGCGGTCGTGTGCGGAGAGACTCGCTGCCACGGCTTCCGCGGGTTCCTTGTGTAGGCTTATTGCCATCGCGCTGCGCACGAGGTTGGCCGAGGCGACGGCGTCGCTGGGCGGACCTGTGCAGTGGACCAGCCGCGCAAGCAGGAGGAGGAAATCCACTCGCAGTAGCCACAGACTGTACGACTCGACCTCGGCGATGGCTGCCTTCCACGCCTTGGCGACGCCCAGCAAGCGGAGGACGTCTGATCGCGGTAGCCGGCCCTGTCCGGGGGGCAGCATGCCGTTGCCGATCGCCAGGACCAGACAGAGCATGACGGCGTTTTCGCAGCGGATTTGTTCGTCCGGGAGGGTCCAGAAGCTCTCGTACTGCTCGCGCAGCTCTGCCCACTCTACGATGCGGAAGACTGTCCCAAACGTCTCAAAGTAGCGTGCCATCGACTGGTCGCATATCGCTTTCGGGGGGAGGTCGTCGCGTGGGTTCCGGAAATGGTCCCGCGACGAGCTGAGACTCAGCAGCTCGCTGTTCATCTGTAGCAGTCGTTGCTGGTGGAGTTCTGTCTGTCGCGACAGGAAGGGTACCCCCGTGTGGTAGCCATTAGGCGATGCCACCGTCGCCTTGTCGATATACGACATGACGGGTTCGAGCTTTTCTGTCAGCGTGCTTTTCTTCCTCTTCAGGTCGATCGTACCGTTGGTAGAATTGTCTGCCAGTGACTTGTTCCTCGGAAATGGTTCAACCCAAAGGCCGCATACTTTTCGCAGGTGGCTATTGTGTGCTGTGGTTCTTGACCGTCATTACTACTATTGACATGCGCGGTCTGACGGCAGTCGCTCTCCGCCTCCAAGCTGGGGCTCGGCGATTCCACAGCCGGCTCTTTATCCTGGTCCTTGGATACGGAAGAACCAGCGAAGTCAGGATACACGCAGCCGCGACCTCTGGAGAGCTTGTAGCATTGGTCGCAGGGCAGCTCGCGGTTGCATTTGACTTTGCGTTTGCGACATAGCACGCAGGAGAGCTGTGGCCGTTGGCGACGGCGACGTTCTTTCTCAGACATCACAGAGTATTTCTGAATAGAATCGAGCCTATGGGTACTGTTTTCCTGTACTCTTTCTGCATGTTGAGTTGTGTTCGCCACGCGAATAGTTGCTGACAAATGCTTAGATCATCCTATGCTCCTGAATCTCCTGGCAGTTGCTCTATAGAGTCTATACATCTACCGATTCTCGAATGCAATATACAGTTAATGAAGTGACTCCTGACATCTACACTGCATATACTAATACTACACGGTAGTAGTACTCAGTCGAATGTGTCTGTCCACATATTCAGGAGACGATCACTTTTAGCGCACCAGCTAAAGCCCACTTCCCCTGCAGAAATGGATACAGATATATCGTCTCATTTTATAACCACGAAACTAGCCCAATCAGTGCGACACATGCGAGCATGTTCTCCAGAATGAAGCCATCCGAGGTACGTCATCCACTAGCGGTTGCTGCTACTTACCCCTGGGTACGGGGTACCGGCAATCTCAACGGTCAATCACTGCAGGTTGCGCGAAAACGTGCAGAAAACTTTGACCATGTCGATCACATGCGAGAGATCTCTGCTCATATCTGATGGTGGTATACCGGCAGAAATGCCGGGCGCGAGAGGCTATAAGAAGTCATTTGTTTCGGCGATGTTGAACGGAAGGTCACCCATAGCCTCCCGATCATTCGAATACAATGAAGATCTCCTCGATCTTGTGCCTCGGCCTGGTGGGCGCTGCTGTCGCGTCCCCCAGCGCAATCAGCAAGAGGAGCACCATCAGTGAAATCCTCGCTGATATCGAGGAGGCTGCGACCTGTACCGCCTGTGAGGTTGGTGGATCATTCCTGGTCATGCTTTTATCCTACGATTCTGATAATCCAGGCGCTGCTGGTTGTGCTGAAAGTGCTGGCCCACCTGGGCAACGATGACTTTGTCGATGTGATCACCGAGGTCTGCATCTTGGCAGGAGTAAGTACAGGGTGATATGATGATGATGTATAATACTGTATAGCTGACGAATAGATCGATGATGACGATGTCTGTTCCGGTTCGATCAGTCTGGAGGGCCCTATTCTGGCGCACGACCTGCGGAACATGGATATCCCCTCGCACACGGCCCAGCTCTTCTGCACGACCGTTTTCGGGCTCTGCGACTACCCGGCCGTGACGGCGTACACGGTGGACTTCCCCTCGGCCAAGCCGGCCGATGCGGTTCGGCCGGCGTCGAGCGGCGAGACGCCCATCAAGGTGGTGCACATCAGCGACATCCACGTGGACCTGTACTACGAGACGGGAGCCAACTACAACTGTACCAAGCCGATCTGCTGTCGTCCGTATGACACGGCCGACGAGCCGGGCAACACGGATTACCCGGCGGGCGAGTACGGCAACCACAACTGCGACTCGCCGGTGGTGCTGGAACAGAGCATGTACGCGGCGATCCAGGAGTTTGCCTCGGACGCGGCGTTCACCATCTTCACGGGCGACGTGGTCGAGGGGGCGGTGTGGTCGGTGAATGAGTCGCAGGTGATCACGGCGCTGGACAATGCGTATGAAACGCAGATGGCCGCGTACCTCAGCCTGGTGTACGCGGTGACGGGCAACCACGACGTGTCGCCGGTGAACTCGTTCCCGCCCGCGGACATCGACACGACCATCTCGAGCCAGTGGGCGTACGACACGCTGTCGGCCGACTGGACGCAGTGGCTCGGCTCGACGGTGGCGGCCACGGCGGACGACTACGGGGCGTACTCGATCAAGTACCCGGACGGCAACCTGCGGATCATCGCGTTCAACTCGCAGTTTTACTACAACGAGAACTTCTGGCTGTACGAGGCGACGATGGAGACGGACCCGAGCGGGCAGCTGGCCTGGCTGGTGACGGAGCTGGAGGCGGCCGAGAGCGCAGGCGAGCGCGTGTGGCTGATGGGCCATATGCCGATGGGCTCGAGCAGCGCCTTCCACGACGGGTCCAACTACTTCAACCAGATCATTGAGCGGTACGACGCGACCATCGCGGCCACCTTCTACGGCCACACGCACAAGGACGAGTTTGAGATCGCGTACTCGGACTACAGCGCCCAGAGCGCCGCGACGGCCAACATGGTCTCGTACATTGCGCCCGCCCTGACCCCGACGTCCGGCAACCCGACCTTCCGCGTCTACTCGGTCGACCCCGTCACCTTTGGCGTGCTCGACTTCACCGTGTACATCGCCAACATGTCTGCCCCGGGGTACCAGGACAGCCCGACGTGGGAGAAGTACTACTCGGCCAAGGAGGCGTACGGGGCCCTGCTGGACCCGCCCGTGACGGACAGCGCGGCCGAGATGACCCCGGCCTTCTGGCACAACGTCACGGCGCTGTTCGAGGACGACGACACCGTCTTCCAGGACTACTATGCGCGCAAGTCGCGCGGCTGGGACGTCGACTCGTGCACGGGCAGCTGCAAGACCGACGAGATCTGCCAGCTGCGCGCGGCCGAGGCGCAGTATAACTGTGTGACGGTGACGCCGGGGATCGACTTCAAGAAGCGTTCCTCTTCCTCCTCCTCTGTCTCTGCTTCGGACGAGTGTAGCGGGTCGGTCTTTGGCAAGATGTTCGGCGACTTTGAGGCTGCCGTGGCCGCGCTGACCGAGGCGGCCGAGGCGAAGCTGGGGGATGGATTCCTGACCACTGCTGTTAATTCTACATTAATTAACTAGTTGATTTTCCACTCAGACTGTTAGATTAAAGTACGGAGTAATAATCAAAAATACTATTGCAATATTGGAATGCTGACCGAGGTGATAAGACGCGGGGTCAAATCCCTCTTATCCCCTTCCCCTCACTTCAACCATCGACACTGCCAGACGCTGTCAGACACTGTCAGCCGCCGCAATGGAATACCCCTTTGATCTAGGAGGTTATTGCCGCAAAATACGCACCGACTTCTCCGAAGCACAGACCTGGTTCGACCGCGGTCTCATCTGGACGTACGCCTTCCACCATGAAGAGGCAGCACGCTGTTTCGAGCTCGCGTGGACGGCCGACTCTTCGTGCGCGATGGCCGCCTGGGGACTGGCATACACTCTCGGACCAAACTACAACAAACCGTGGTCCGTGTGGGACGAGGAGGAGCTTCGAATGACGACACGACGAGTGTACGAGGTTGCCCTCGCCGCAGAGCAGCTGGCGGGGAGGGAGGAATCCCTGGAGCAAGCGCTGTGCGCGGCGCTGCGTCTACGATATCCGCAGGCTGAACCGCCTGAGCCGCGCGAGAAATGCGAAGACTGGAACAAGGCATACGCGATCGCCATGCGGGCCGTGTACGATCGGTTCGGCGATGATCTGGATGTGGCGGTGCTGTTCGCCGACGCGCTGATGAACCTCACGCCGTGGCAGTTGTGGGATCTGCAGACGGGCGAGGCGGGAATGTATACCATGGAAATCAAACGGGTGATGGAACGGGCGTTTACGGAGTCGCCGCAGGGGAGTCTGCGCCATCCGGGCCTACTGCATCTCTACATCCATCTGATGGAGATGTCGAGCACGCCTGAAGCGGCGCTGGGTCGTGCTGATGTGCTGCGCGATCTCGTCCCCGACGCGGGCCATTTACAACATATGCCGTCCCATCTGGACGTGTTGTGTGGTCGGTACGAGGCGGCGATTGTATCGAACCAAGCAGCTATCCGTGCTGACGAGAAATTCATCGAGTGGTCCAAGCACACTGCCACTGCCACTGCCACTGCTACTACGAGTTCATCTTTCTACACTCTCTACCGATGTCACGATTACCATTTCTGCATCTATGCGGCCCTGTTCGCGGGGAAGAAACAGGTCGCCCTGGACACCGTGGCACGACTAGAAGAATCCCTTCCCGAAGCTTTACTCCGTGTCTCTTCCCCCCCGATGGCAGACTGGCTGGAAGTGTTTTGTGGGATGCGCGTGCATGTACTCGTCCGCTTTGGCGAATGGGAGGAACTCCTGGCCTACCCGGTTCCATCGGATACAACTCTCTACAGCGTGACCACGGCGTTGATCCATTACGGCAAGGGAGTCGCGCACGCGGCCAGGGGGGAAACAGACTGCGCGGCAAGAAGTCTGCACTCCTTCCTCGTTGCGCGGGAGAAGGTGTCCCCCTCCCGCACGCTGTTCAATAACTCCTGTCTCGATATACTGGGTATCGCGGAGGCGATGCTCCGCGGCGAACTGGCGTACCGACTCGGCGAGATCGAGCAAGGGTTCGAATGGTTGCGGACTGCGATCTCCCGCGCGGATTCTCTTCCCTACGATGAACCGTGGGGGTGGATGCAGCCCGCTCGACACGCTTACGGGGCGTTGCTTCTTGAACAGGGGCGTGTCGAGCAGGCTATGGCGGTTTACGCGGCCGATCTGGGTATAGACGGGGGGGACACCTCGTTGCCGAGGGCGTTGCGGCATCCCAGGAACGTCTGGGCGGTGCATGGCTACCGTGAATGTCTTCGGTTGTTGGGGAGGGAGGATGTGGAGATTGATCACCTTCTGGGGGGGTTACTTGATGCCGCGGACGTTACAGTTTCTTCTTCTTGTTTTTGCAGAAAATAATTTAAACATACTTATCAATGAGATAACAGTATTAGATTAATACTATATGCTACAGCATCCTACATATGCTGTCATACAGCATATGCTGTATGCTACAGCATGGTCCCCTTGTTCTGCTTGGCGTCGACGCGGTAGTGCTTCCATAACAGAACGGCAGGAATGGTCAGGACGAGGACGCAGGTGGCGGCGATGCTTTCATACTTCTGGCTCTCCCCCCAGGCGGTGTTGATGGCCGTACGGATCTCCGTGCCCGGCGCGTATTCCAGCTGCGAGAGGTAGCCGCCGATATAGATGGCTTCCCAGTCATCTTTGGCCGAAGCAGGCAGGTGATGGCGCAGGGCGCTGGGGAAGGTGTTGGTGTAGATGGAGGCCGAGACGGCGTAGCCGATGGAGCCGCCGATATTGTTGAACAGGGAAACGATGGCGAGCATCATGGGGAGGTCGTCACGGTCCGAGGCACACATGACGGCCATCTGCATGGAGATGACGAGCATGCCGCCGGCGAAGGCGATGAAGATCTGACACATGATGATGTAGCCGATGTCGCCGTCACCGCCGCGGAAATGGATCATGAGCCCGGCGCCGAGGAACATGAGCGGCAGCGCGAAGAAGAGACAGGAGTACTTGAACTCGCGGACGAGACGCACCCAGATGCCAAAGATGGGGGAGAAGACGCAGGAGCCGACGGTGTAGATGGAGTCCATGTAGCCCGTGTGCGTGATGTTGAGGTTGTAGACGACCATGACAAAGTAGTAGAAGTAGCTGTCCCAGCAGTAGAAGCTGAAGTAGACGGCGGCCGCCAGCAGACAGGCGCCCAGCACGGTGCGGTTGCGCAGCAGGCGGTAGGGGATGAAGTGCACGCGGGCACACCACTTCTCCCAGGCGGCAAAGACGAAGAAGAGACAGAAGCCGACGACGACCTGGGCGATGAAGGCGGGCTTGTGGTACTCGGTGCGGCCGTACTGGGCCATGCTGAAGGGCAGCAGGAAGAGGATGAAGGCGGCCATGAGGATGGCGGCGCCGACGATGTCGAACTCGTGGAAGTAGTGGACCAGGCTCTGCAGCGGGGTGCGGCCGCTGTCCTCACGCACCAGCAGGCCCTGCCGGTACGCCTTGCGCTCGTAGTACTTGAAGACGACCATCAGCGGGGCGAAGACGACGGGCTGGATGATGGCAAAGGCGCCGTAGGCCCAGCGCCAGTTGGCGGTGGAGATGAAGGCGTCGGCGGCCAGCGAGCCCGTAAAGGCCGTGATGATGAACGGGGTCGAGGCAAAGGCAAACGCAAACGCCCGGTTGCGCAGGCCCGTCATGTCCGCAATGAAGATGTCCAGGATGATGTAGATGGCGTCGTAGCCGACCCAGTACAGCACGTAGCCGGCCGCAAAGCTGTTGGGCCCCGTGCAGGCAGCCAGGATGATGATGCCCAGCACGTAGATGGCCACGAAGAAGGCCAGCCCCTCGGTCCGGCCCCAGATGGTCAACAGACGGCCCATGGGCAGCTTGAGCACGCCGCCCACGATCGTAGCCAGGATATAGGCGGTGGTGATGGCGGGGGCGCTCGAGAACTTGGAGTAGGCGTACGCGGTCGCGTTGGACCCGATGGACGAGTGCAGCGCCAGCATAAAGTAACAGACCCAGATCCTGGCAGTAGTAAGTGGTAGATCGTTAGTTAGATGACAATTCCTTCTTCGTCTGGAGTAGTACAGTACCAAGCGTAGGTCAGATAGATGGCCTTCTTCGTCCAGACCAAGGCCGCCGCCTCGGCCTTTTGCACTCCCAGCGAGGCCCCCGTGGTGATCTGGTTCGGATGCACTTCAGCCTCCTTGTTTGCCTGAGCCAGAAAGTCCGCGTCGCTGTCGGTCGGCGTCGGATTGTCGCCATTCTGTGCGACGTCGACGGGGCGCAGATCGTCGACCAGATGGTCGGTCTTGCGACCGCGCAGTCGTTCAACGCCCATGACGAAAGAGATGGAGATGGAGTGTAGTGGTGGTGGTGATTACCAGGCAGTAATAGTGGTGGTGTATGAGGAAGAGAGAGGAATCAGTTCTATACTATGAGAGAAGATCAGATAAGAGGAACTGTATAAAACTGTGGATTGTCCAAGGGAGAATCTGAGTCTTTTCGTCATTGATGGAGATACCACTTTCCTCTTCCGGAGAATATACATGGTCCATTGGCACATCAGGACTTGGTACCTTGGTTAACTAATTGGCTGCCTCGGTACCTGCTCCCTATGACTTCATGAACCCAATCTAATCTGATCATAACCTGTATCTAGAGAGATTGATGTGATGGTAAGAAGATAATAGGAGATAGAGAATATCCTCTAATATTACCCTACATCTAGACTTGGTTGAGAAATAATATTCTAGAAAAGATCTATTGCTCTATTCAGCGGATGCTCTGGGCGTTTACTGTTCACTGTGCCCTTTATTCCCTTTTTCCTCATTCTCTTCACTCTCTTCACTCTTTTCTTTACTCTCCTCTTCATTCTCTTCATTCCCTTCATTCCCTTCATTCTCTTCATTCCCTTCATTCCCTTCATTCTCCTCATTCTCTTCATTCTCTTCATCCCCCACTTCATCCTCCCAACTGTCAACCACCTCAGCCCGTAACTGCTTGCTGGCACCCACTCCAGACCTCAGAACCAACCGGTCCTTCTTGCCAGACACGCCCTGCTCCCCCGCAAGAGCAGCATACATCGAGCCACCAGCAAAGAGAGGCGTCGTAGAGACTGTCGCAGGGCTTCTCCCACCGCTTGCGCCCAGTTTCCGTCGAGACGCCACCTGCGCCCATCCATCATTCACTCCATGTCCACCACCACCACCACCACCACCGAAACTCCCTATTCCAGCAGCCCGGGCAGCTTCTTTCGCAGCCTGGGCCTCCGCAGCCGCGACGCGCTGCGCATCGCGCTCCTTGGCGCGCTGCCGCTCCCGCGTCCGCATACACTCGCCTACACTCATCCCGCCGATCCCGATCGCGACACTGGTGGGATTGCCCGTGTTGAACAGCGCGGGAGGCGTCCATGCCCCGGGTTTCAGGACGAACACGTGGCGGTGCGGTTCTGGGTCGAAGCTTTCGCTGGCGAATCCCCAGTCTGCAGCGAGGGAGTGCACGAATGCCCGGAGGGAGGATTTCGCAGGCTGGAACCGCACAGACCGTTGCGTGGCGCTCACTGCGAGAGTGTGGAGACTGGATTCGTACGACTGGAGAGTCGCCAACGGCGATGTCGACGAGAGGTGCATGTAGAGATCTAGGGTTTCGGTCGAATACGGGAGACTATGACCGGTAGTACTCGATCCGGCAGCTGTCGTGGTCGACGGATCGATCTCAATGCCCAGCGCGGACGCCAGGGACCGATTGCGTTCTAGCCGGGCACATTCCTCGTCGCACGCCAGAGTCTGTACGCCTCGCGGGACCTGCGTTGGCTGGGTAGCCGGCTGGGGGAGTGAACTACCCTTCGTCGTCACTGCTCGTGCCGCAGCGCATCGTTTCTCCTGTCGGAGTCGTCCACAGCCGCAGGTGATGATCACGGGCGCAGTGCATGGGTTCTTCTCCGTACAGGGGTATGGGGCGTGGCAGGGTTCTGTGCACGGGTGGCCGCATAGGGCTTTGGTTTTGCCACACGCCTGCGTGCACGGCGTACAGGCGTCCTCGCACTCGCCCGGCCGATGGCAGTCCTTCTGGCAGACGTGCGATCCGCACTTGAGCGGTCGGCCGCAGATCTGACCGCACCGGGCATCCGTCAGCCAGCAGGGCTGGTTTTTCAACGTTCGTTTCCCGCACAGACAGGCCTTCTCCGTCAGGAACGGGCACTTGGGACACGATTCGTCGTCGGTATGGCAGTTGTGGGCTGTCTGGGGGTGTCCGCAGGCCTTCGACCGGTGGCAGGGGTATGAGCACGGCGGCGGTTGCGTCCCGCACGGCAGCGGCGGATACAGGATGGTGCGCCCGCAGTGGCAGGCGATCTCCTCGAAGATCGCCTCTCGGCAGGTGTTGCATGCCCCCTTGTGGCACAGCTCGGGACACGTGTGTCGGCCGCATTTCAGACCCCGGCCGCACACTCGGGTGCAGATGTGTTCGGCTTCGATCTCATCATCGCTCGGTCGGAGGTGAGGCTTCAGCCGTCGTCGGAGTGCCTGTCGTTCAATCGCTTTCTGCTCGCCAGGGCAACACCGTTCGGCGCACGCGTGTCGGCCACAGTGGAGTGCGCTCTTGCATTGCCGGAAGCACTGTGGAGGTTCGATGGTGCCTTGGTGGCACAACGTTCGCGATGTAGTGCGCCCGCAGCGACAACCGATGAGCACCACCCGGAGACACGGCCCGCACGTACCGGTATGACAGACTTGGTCGCAGGAGTGGCCGCACGGCAGGATCTTGCCGCAGGCTTCCCGACAGTTGGGGATGGGGTCCTCACATGATGTTCTGGGGGTATAGTCGGGGATGCCTGCCAGCAGAGTCTTCCCACAGGGGCAATGCAGGACCACGTCGGGCGACTTTGGACACAGAGCTGGGTGCGCATCCTGCGGATGGCAGGCCTTTTGACAGGTATGTTTCCCGCAGGCAAAGGGGCGGTCGCACACATCGCCGCAGTTGAAGCATCCGATCCAGTCGTCTGATTGACCGGTTGTCTCGTCCACTCGGGTGGATTCAAGCTCCTCGTCCTTGGAGCTGCACAGCATTTCAGTTTCCACTTTGCCGCAGTAGCATCTCGCCTCGATCTTCACCTCGCACGCGCCACAGAGGCCCTCATGGCAGGGCCGAGGACATGTATGCTCTCCGCAGGGGAGAAGGTCTCCACAGATCTCCCCACAGCTCCACCCATTCTCATAGTCTGTATCTTGACACCGCTTGGTCGACGAGGTGCGGCCGCAGAAACAGTCCTGCGTAGGCCCCATGGCCGTACAGGGCGCACACGGGCCGGCGTGGCAGGTGGCATCGCACGGGTGTGGACAACCCTTGCGCGGTCGCGAACAGGTTTGCCCGCACGAGTGTGGCGGTAGACCGGGCAGCGGGCGAGGGTCGACTTCCTTCTCACACCAGCACGAATAGGTTGTCGGCCGTACCTCCTGTGCCAGATTGCACCCGGGACAGCGCCAGGCCCGTGATGCCGCGGTCGCCTCCTCGTTGCCGTCTTCCAGCCGGCGGGCTGCGTCCTGAGCAGCGGCGGATCCTTCGTTCTGCGACCACTTTTTGATGCAACTGAGATGGAACACCGTCCAGCACAGCTGGCACGACCACACTCGAGACCGTCGACCCAGTTCGCTGGTGCAGATCGGGCACTCGTAAAGGTTGTGGGCGATATCTTCGTGCGTCCGGGTGGCGATATCCGGGGCGGTAGACTTGGTGGTCACCTTGGGCGGTTTGGCCTTGACTTTGGCCTTAGCCTTGGGAGCCTGCGGTGGTTTCTCTGCCGGCTGTACCCCCGGCACGAATTCCGGCGCCTCCACGCGGAGTCCTTTACCATCCTCCTCTGTTCCGTTCAACTCTTCGTTTTCGTCGTCTTCGGACGCCTGCTGCGGCTGCGTCAACCGTCCTTCAAATCTTCTACCACCAACCCCGGCCAGCCGGGTAGTCGACTGTGCTCCTGCTGCTGCTGCTGCTGCTCGACTAGTATTTCCCCCGCGTCCGTGACCTCGTCGCTGAGGACCATCGGGTCTGCCACCACCGGCCCCTCCTCTGCGTCCTCTCCGCGAACGGGGGGCATCGTTTGGTGTCGTTGAAGCGGGATCGGTCGTCGATTGTGACTGCGTTTGTGATTGTGAAGGTAATTCAGAAGGATTCTGTCCCCGTTGGCCACCACGGCCACGGCCTCGTCCTCCCCGCCGGGCCGGTCTTGGGCGAGACGGCTGCTGGCTGGGGTGTGTAGCGGGGGCGTCCGACATGTTCGTAGCAGCTGTGTAGGGACGCTGGGTGCTCATGCAAGGATGGAACGTCAAAATATATGCACCACCGCCGTCTCAACCGTTTTCACCGTCTCTTTCTCCTGTTTTGCCTTGCTTCCGTCGAGCTGGGAGATAAAAGGTGGGCGGGCGGCGAAGAAGAATCTCGAAGGCCCTGAAAAGGCACGGCAGAATCTGGCGGTAAAACGCGGCAGAACACGTGGGCGGCGAGTCCCCGATTGGCCTGGGCTGACTCAGCCTGACTCAGCCTGACTCACGGTGGAGTCACGGGATGGGCGGGTCTGAATCATGACTCACCAGTACGAGCAATACAGAGCAAGTACAGAGTACAGAGTATGTACAGAGTACAAAGTACTACATCCTATGTACGAGGATGGAGTAATTCCTGCTTGAATCGTATTACTCTTTACTCTTAAATGAAGTTATCCGACGATGAGTCGTCGCGGAGATTGCTTCTTCGTATCTGTAGAGTTCTATCTGTGCTATCAATGATGAGAGTAGTCAGGGAATAATCTTAGGGGTTGATCATAGTATTTGTTCCATAGTAGAGTTGAGTATTTGGGCCTGAGTCTATCAATACCTACCTACTATTACCTACTAGGTATTACCTGCTGTACTACTACGGAGTACTCCGTACTGACTGGCAGTGACTGCCGCTTGCAGTGGTGTCCGCCTGAACTGTAAGGCAACTAATGTTCTAGACCGGAGAAATAGAGGCCCGATAGTACGCCTATCCTAACTAGGTAGGACGGCACTATGCCAGATTCAGCAGATTATCTGCCTCAGGATACAACAAACGTCTACCAACTACTCCGTCCTATCAATAATCCAACTCGTCTTCACCCTTCGAGCTTTTGTGCGGTGCAGTCTCAACACTGTTACCCTGCTGCCTTGAAGGATGGAACTGTGGATATTTCCGTGGACTACTGTCTCTATCTCCAGCAGGGTCCTGCACTAACTGTATTCTATTTCAGGTTTCCTGGCAGCCTGACAGCTTGAAATTCTGCTGCCTTCCCCCCAACACAGCCAACACGGGGTAGCTAACCTGGAGATGCATCCACTAACAACTGGTCTACAGGCGTCTCGATATGCTGCAAGGCCCCTGATCTGCTTGGCGAGCGACCTCAGCTGTGTCTTTTTTAAGAAACACACACCCAGAAGTAATTCTATACGAAGACACCAATTGAAGGTGGTCGTTGTGGCTATGGTGGGACAGAATCATGGTAGACAAGGCCTGATACATGCTTTTGAATGGCATATAATAAACCTCTTCGACCTGTTGAACCATGAGGAAATATAATGCAGTCCTCCACTCCATCAATTGGTCTTCTGTTCTGTTCTCAGGGTAGCTCGTCATGTCAACCACTACCACCACCACTGCTGCAGCGTCAGCAACCGCCTCTTGTCTGAACATCAAACCAGGCAAAGATGGATTTCTGCCACCAGAGGCCTGCGATGCGCTGCTCCCCTACGTGCCTTCGTTTGCAGCTGCGGTCTTGTTCACCGTCATATTCGGTGCGACTCTGGTTGCCCATCTCGTCCAGGCAATCACGTTCCGCAAGGTACATACATACAATAGAAATACAGTCTTTTCTTGCACGTCACTAGAATACTGATATATGGTTTCCAGAGATTCTGCTGGGTGGTTATAATGGGTGCCTTTTGGGAAGTGACTGCCATGGTATTCCGAGTGCTGCTCACTCGGAACCAGAGCCAAGTGGCGTTCTACCTGCCCAATTTCCTTTTCATCCAGCTTGCGCCATTGTGTACGTCCTAAAAGGGAGCTTGAAAGTCACCTCACTCGATCTCCACTAACAATCCAGGGCTCAATGCATTCATGTACATGATTCTCGGACGCATGGTCTACTTCCTCGTCCCGGAGAAACGCCTCTTCGGCATCTCCGCCAAACGACTGGCCACCATCTTCGTCTGCCTGGACGTCCTGACGTTCCTCGTGCAGGCGACTGGTGGCATTCTGGCCTCGCAGCAGAACGGCTCGCAGAGCATCATCCAGACAGGCATGCATATCTACATGGTTGGGATTGGCGTGCAGGAGTTTTGCATCCTCGTCTTCACGGCCCTACTCGTTGCCTTCCAGCGGCGCGTCATGCGCAGCGCACTTCCCCCTCAAGTTCAAGGTCCTTCGTGGAAGTGGTTGTTCTTCAGCATGTACACTGCCCTCATCTTGATCACAGTATGTGTACCTTCTCTTTTAGTTTATTGGGGGGGGGAGGGGTTCTCTTTCTGTGGCTAACTCATTTAATGCTAGATTCGCATCATCTACCGACTGGTAGAATACAGTGACGGAACAGATTACTCTACGAGCCCTATCCTCAGTCACGAATGGTACATGTACGTCTTTGACGCGACACCCATCTCCCTCGCTTTCCTTGTCGTGAATATCTTCCATCCCGGTCGATTCCTAATAGGTCCCGACTCGGAATTCCCCCGGTTGACTCGCATGGAAAAGAAACGGCTCAAGGCTGAACGGAAGGCTCGCAAGGCGCGCAAGGGGAGGGATGATGAGTTCGGGGCCTTCTACGAGGACACTCATGAAATATTAAATAGCGAGCAGAGAGAAGATGCTGTGTAAAGTCTAGGAGATCGTTCGTTTCAAAAAAGATATAGTTCAAGTTCAACTGGATTATGCATTACTCGTATCGAGAGAAATCGCTATGCAAGAAAAGAAAAGAAAAAAACACCCTTTTCCACATCCAAAATCATTGACCAAGACAAGACAAACTAACCCTACATGAAGAGAACAATCTCTCCACGCTCGTTCCGCTTCAGCCGCAACGCCCGCCACAGTTCCTTCTCATCGTCATACCAACGGTCACGGTCTTCCCGGTCACCGCCGCGCCCATGCCCGCGACCACGCTCGCGTTCGTAATCTACGAGGTGCGCGTCAGGTTCGCCATCAGGGCCAGCCGAGAGCTCCCGGTGGAACCGCTTCAGGACTTTATTCATCGACAGGCCTCGAGTACTCTCGGGGCCTTTGGTCACAAGCGAGAAGAAGTGAGCCGCGAATTGACGCTGCAAAGCGACCTCGGACGCAGAAGCAGGGTGGTACATGACCATCTGGCGGCCGTCGCCATGCAGGGCAGAGTCCGAGTCGCGCGAGGCCGTCTCGAGGACCTGTTTCTGCCGGCGCGACGGCCGCTCGACGTCCACCTGTGCACTCGGCTTGCGCTTCGATGTCGGGCGTGAATCGGCAGCGGCTGCCTGTCCGTTGCCGGTGCCGCGCACCTTGTGCGACTTCTTGGGCTTGCGTACCTCGAGATGTTGGTCGCTGTCCGAGGAGCCGCGGCGGGTGCGGACGAGCGCGACAGGTTCGCTGCCACCGCCACTGCTGCTCCCGGAGACGACCGAGCCCCCGCCAAACATCGAGGACACAACTCGCTCGGCACGCGACTTCATCGAGATGCCCAGTCCATCGTTGGTAGAGTGTTTCTTCTCATTGCGACGGGTTCGCTTGATGGGCGAGGAAGGTTCCTGGAACCGCCGACGGTCGCGGTTTTCGCGGTGATTTCCGTCCTCGTAATCCTCGTCAAAGGAAGGGGACCGCAGCATGCGGTCCAACCCACCGGTGAGCCCCGAGTGGTTGAGATGTGGCGTGCCGGCGTGGTTCAGCACACTGGATGGCGCATCCATCATCTGCGTATCGTCCTCGTGGTTCATCTCGGCGTCATCAGCATGACCGCGCTTGCGCTTCTTGTCGCTCGTCGTGCCGGACACTCCGGGTTCGGGGGAGTCCTGCTTGTCCTTGCGGCTCCGATCCTTCTTCTTGCTCTTCTTGGGCGCAGGGGTCATGAACTCCGTCGAGACATTGGACACCTCCTTCGAGAACAGAGACGGCTTCACGGGGCCCGCGCCATAGGAGAATCCATTCTCCTCGTAGGCGACATCGTAATCTTTGTCCTCATCGTCAATCCCCGAGTCTACTCGGGTGAGCGCCGCGCTGGCCTGGAACAAGGAGGGGGCATGGTCGACCATCTGCATCTGCTCCACCGAGCCACCAAGCGAGACGCGCGAGGCGTTGGGAGTCTTTTCGTTCACGAGGTAGTCAAAAACGTTGAAAGAGTTGTCCTTCGTGGGCGCTGCGGCAGTCGCTGCTGGCTGGGTGTTGCCCTCTGGGGGACTCGGGGCAGGCGGGAGAACGGGGGCGCGAGTAGGATTGGAACTCTCATCGGGCACATCTTCCACTCGAGGTTGGCGATTGGCGTTTTGCTTGGAATTGTTGTTCTTCCCATTCCGCTGACCCTTGGGAGGCTTCTCTTTATAAAGCGCGCCCTGGTATTTTTGCTCTTCAGACATGCATGACTAGAGCGTCGCAGTCAGTTTTTTTTAAAAAAAAAAAAAAAAAAAAAAAAAAAAAAATCGCCCAATGATATGGGAGAACTAGACGTCACTGCCAGGCATGTCGTGGCAGCACCACAGCGGTCGCGAAGGAAAAGAGAACAAAACTAAACCGGGAACCAACGTACTGTATGCGCTCTGTAATGGGTCCCCTGGAAATGCACCATGCAGTCAATGCAGGTGAATGAGGCTCCCCGACATTGGTTGCGATGCGGATCGAGCTTCTTCTTGGTAAGGACGTCGCCGCAGGCCTATACCACGTTCAATCTCATATTAGCTTGAACACAAATAAAAAACATATTTTCCGATCCACTCACCTCGCATGAGAAAGACACCATGATGACCTTGCTTCACTTCGTTCCTGTCAGGCGGTCGCGCCGAGGATGGTTGGGCTGTCAGCAACGACGGGATCTGCACGCGTCGCTGGGTCCAAGTAATAAGATTTCTCAAAGAAGCGGTATGACTCCGTCAGGTACACAAGCACGTTCCTGCGATCGGTCTGCGACTCTGCGTGTGGCTGGTGGGCATTCAATGCCCAATCACTGCAGGGGGGGGAAGGGAGGGGAGAAAAGCCGCGCCGCGAAAGCTCGTCAACAAGTGGAAATGAAATGCGACAGGGAGATCCAGGCGAACAGGAGCGAACGACGAACGGTTGTGGTCGGCCGAGATGGATGACGACGGACAGAGCGCCTGCTGGATGAGAGTGGGATGTCCTGGTGGTCTGACGGTCCTCTGGTGGGTGTCTCTGTCAAGCTCTCCTTCGCCTTTTCACTGCTTCTTGTTGCCTGCTCTTTCTGGATCTTTTTTTTTATGAAGAACGCACGGGATGCGCTAGTCCTGATCGAGTAGACAACACGCTAGGCTATATTTAGTATAGATGTGATGCCTGACGGGTATGGCAGAAACAGAAGTCTTTCACTGTTGTATGGAGTTGAACTTCTAGTCTTCTAGTATGGATGGGATTTCGAGCAGAAACACAGAGTGGAACAACGGGAAGGATGAGAGGGGAAATGTCGAGAAACGAAAACAAAGGCCCGGGTCGATGGTCTAATTTTACGGTGGCACAGTCAGTCAGTCAGTCAGTCAGTCAGTGTGCGCGTCGGCTGCTGCTGCGATCACAAGCGACACCCATCATCGTCCTCCCGTCATCATAACAGATCCAGGGGGGGGGGGGGGGCGATGCACGGACACGGTCGAGAGTAAACACAAAACACAAATCTGTGAAACATATAGATCTAGGTATCGCGAGATTACAGTTTCCGCGCTGGTTGGCCTGTCAGACGACCTCGTTTCGACTTGTCGCCCAGGGAACCCTTGACCAGGGGGGTTGCTGAGAAGCCACTCATCGTCGAGGGCCGCCCTCCATCAACACCGGGCGCTTCGTGGCTGAGAACAGCGGTAAGAGAAGCGAGAGACTGCGGGTGAGGCATCGAGTATAGAATTTTGAAGACGGTAGAGGGGCTAACACGGTTGAAAAACAACTACTTTCCGGTCATGGTAAAAAGGTCATTTGCGCAGTTCATTTGTACACTTCTCTGTACAATCCTTTGTAGTCCTTGCAGTGTCTCATCGACCACCATTGATCGACGGTCAGCCGCTCTAGTCATAGGAGATTTAGTCTGCAGTATTAAGGGAGATTAGTATCGCTAGTGGGCTGAATGGGTGCATGACTCGAGACCCATCGATACCCTCTGCATCAAGCCATCGCGCGGTAGTCTGTTTCAAGCCAATGGAGTACTCCGTAGACTCAGCTGCCTAGGACTGATACTGAAAAGGGGGAAAGGAAAAGATAGGATTGAGTCGCTCTATAGTACAGCTGAGCCCGCTCGACAGACAACGAACCCGCGTTGACGGTAACGGAACATGCTCTAATATGGACAGAGAAAGAAAAAGTAAAGACTGATGGGAGAAAAGAAGTAAACGGTTCGTTTCAGGTGTATCAACCCCGCGTGGTCCTGAAGTATCTTTAGTAACATGGTACCAAAAAAAAAAAAAATAGTCTCATTGGGTCATCGACTTACGCCTCCTTGGAGATTTCCACATCTGAAGAGATATCCGCTTTGAGCGGCGTTTCCTCCTCCAGGGTGCTGCTCTTGGCGAGAAGATCACCCTTCTTTGCGCCCTCATCTCCACAACCGCAGTCGTAAAAGTCTCCGATATTGTTGCAGTCAAATAGAGGCTTCTTAAGCATCGTGTTGACTTCGTTGTGGATGAAACAGGCCCACCCTGCCGCTGCATTGCGCGACGAGACCTGCGGAGGGTACTTTTTGAGATGTCCTTGGAAGTGGGAGGCGCATTCGCCACTAGCACAAACACGTCAGTCATTGGCTTTTGCAACTCCACCGGCAGTCAGCATCCATTCTCATACCATGGGTAAAGTCGTGAGAACAGGTAGATGAAAGACCGCAGCGTCTCCTGCTGCTCTTCCGTAGGCTCCTCAGGATACCGGGCCATCATGGTATGGAGGAATTTCCAGGTAGAACGACCGAGCTCGGCTCTAAAACAATCAGGCGACTTGTCAGTACGAATCTCGTAAGAAAGAAAGAGAAAAAAAAAAGAACAAGGATTGTACTTTGCCGTCTCATTCCCTAGCTTTGGCATCACCACCTCCCCCTTCAACATGTCTTCCTTGACCAGGCTCGGTGCCGATTTATCAATATGCCCCGGGGCACGCACAGCCGGGCTCGGCGGGCCATTCGGCTGGATGAACAGGATGAAAAGGAGGAAGATGGCGATCGCACCAGCGGCAAAGATACGCCGAGTCAGTTGGCGGTTCGCCATGGTTGGTTAACTTGACTGTACCAGACAGATCACCGGATTTCTGAACGTGGAACAACCTCAAGGAAAGGTCAAGAGATAAAGAGCGAATGCAACCCGGTGGCGAGCTGAGGTCTATCAAGTCAATTAGTTTCAAAACTCGAAGCTTCCCCCAGCTCCCTGACAAAGGCCAGATTCAGATTGAGGGGCACACCACGTGTTACACGGTCACATGATGCAGATTTATACTGGTCATGTGACTGGATTACGGTTTTGAACTAGCGCGTCGCCGTTTAGATGCTCGACCTCTTTCACAGTTCATGGAAGGATTCCTCTTGTCTTCAACCATCGGTCTCTCGCCATGGCATCTCTACGAACATCTGTCGTCCACAGTGTGTTCCGGACCAGGTCTCCCCTGCTGCGGTGCCAGCAGCGACGCTGGGCGCAGGTCCACGATGTCCGCTTCCTCGCTACACACCACGATCCCAACCATGTGCTGGACAAGTATAAGAACAAACTGTCCCAGAAGGCTCAGGCGTAGGTTCAATCACTTTGTTAAAGTGGTTGTCGTCACACTTGGACTGACGAGTCTCCAGAGAAGGACATGAGTCGATCGACTCCTTGAAAAATGCGTACAAGGACAAAATCCAAGATCTCCGCCTCAAAGCGTCCACCGACATGACCCCAGAGACACCTGCTCCGTCCTCCGCGGCGACGGCAACGACGACAGCCCCCCCTCCTCCATCGCAACCGCAGGCACAAGCGCAATCTCCCAAGATCCCCTCTAGCGACGGGACTGGTATCAAACCGCTCAGCTCGTACCTCAATGTGGACAAGGTCCGCGCCCTGCCGCCAAAGGAGATCGAAGCCCTCTGGCGTCTCCGCCACGCCAACAACGGGAATTCCATCTGTGCCTGCATCCCGGTGGAGACATACCAGCGTCTGGCGGCCGCGGCGCGCAACAACCCGCAATTCATCCTCCCACTGCCCCGCCAGCCGAGCGAGGGACAGTTACCGGAGGGCACAGCCGAGGCCGAAGCGCAGACGGGCGCCGACATCCACTTCCTCCAATGGGCATTCCACCCCCCCGCTGGGGCTGAGCATCAACCCCCAGTCCCCGGCACGCTCAACACCCACACCTCGACCATCATCTTCACCCAGCTGGCGGCGTTCAAGCTGCACGGCTCGTTCGCTCAACCGCACACGACCATCACTCACCACCTGGACCTGGCGGACGACAAGGGGCTGGTCCTCATGCACGGGCAGGTGGTTCCGGATTCGGGCGTGTCGATTGCCGAGGCGAGCTGGCTCGTCAGCTGTGTACAGCGCTTCTACGACTTTGACGGGCAGGCGAGTGGGCGCAAGGGCGAACTTGTCCGCATGTTCACCCAGGGCGATGTCGAGGGGTTCAAGATTGAGGAATTGATGGATGAAGCGGAGAGAGTGTAACCTTCCTCTCTTTCATGACTTTCTCGGTGTATTATACATGTGTGTAGGATATATAGATGTGACAAGATACAGACTTTGATTGATAGGGGAGAAGAGAGAGAATAGAGGAAAAGTGAGACAAGGAGACAAGGATACATTATATCATATAACTGAATGGTGACCCAGCCAGCCTATAACCATGGTTCACAATGATATAATATACTGTCCGCCCTACCAATCCACGTAGTTGCCTAGCATATCTACTTCTAGGTGCTCTATTCACTGCAACTGCCAAGATTAATTACTTTTACATCTATTCCATTCTCTTTCTAGAATCTCTCCCTATCACTTTGTTTTGGCAACCCCTCTGCTTACCTATCTACAGCCTCAAGATGAGTGCTCAGAGCCCCTCCGCCACGTCGAAAGAGATCCTGCTGGTATCTCCTGTATCACCCATCACTGGTACCCTCTCTGCCGGAATGAAACGAAAGATAGTGCCGTCCCTAGAGTCCGCCCAAAGCCGCAAGATCACGATTATTGCACCTGAAGGGATCTTTGCATCAGAGGATAGGATCTCTATCAATGCATCTCCCATTTTCGCGGCAGCCAGAAGGTTATTCCCAACTGGCGAGGCCTATATCGGTAAGAGAGAGATCGAAACCCAGCTCTTTACCTTTGTTAAGTAGTGCCTCCTGTTTCCTAGAGCAACGAGTGTCCCTGAAGGCATCGCATGCGCACCCCGATCCGTCCCCTCCATGGCGAACACATGTCGACGTGCCGCCCTCTCGAGACATCGTCCTACCGTTTGATTTGACGCGCAATCCTGAAGCATACAGCAATCCTGAAAACCAAGAACTCCTAATGCAGGTATTCCGCGACTGTATCGCGCTTTCCTTCGGCCGGGGAATTCTCATCTTTCAGCTCCTGGCTCTCCCCCCTCGCCCATGGCCCCAGAAAATCGCCGGCGCTCCCTGTTATCTCACAGATGTCGAATTTGACTGGGGTCCAGTCGCGCCGTTGGATCGACGAAGCATGTCGAGGATTTTCCTCGAAGACAATGAGGATTACCGCGATGATAGCAGCAAAGCCAATACCCTCTTCGATCATCTGATCTCATGGTTCGAAGAAGCAGAGATATCCATCACCGAGCTGATGTACTGGGACAACCAGGTGGTTATTGTCCTGGAAGATGAGCGTACTGACCTAACCAAAGTCCCCAAGTCTATCGCTTGCTGCCTATGCTACTATCTCTTGGAAAGCGAGATGCATCGCCCAAGACATGTTTCTGCGCTCCGCCGTGTAGACATACCGGTTGAAGGAGGGATAGACGACAGCGCTTACTGCCCGCTCCGGCCTGGGGTGATGCTCGGGTCTGGAGGGATGCTCACCTCCTCTGGAGTCCTAGTGAAAGACAGGCTAGGCAATCAATATCTAACTGTGGCCTCTCATGGTCTTCCCGAGGGAGCTAAAGTCTTGCAGCCGAGCAATGAGGGCCGCGAGATTGGCGAACTCGTCATGGAGATCCCTCACACAGATGTGGGTTTGGTAAAGCTCCACGATGGTGAGAATTACATCAACGAGACCTTCGAGAACACGCTAAAGCTCCGTCAATTCAAACGCGAGAGAGAAATCCGAGGCGGTGATCCGATCGCCATGAACACCCCCTTCACCGGATACATGGAAGGGGTTGCCGGTCTTCCTGGCCGGATACGCATGCAAGCGAACGACAATCCCTTCAAGCCACGCCGACCCTGGGTTCCATGCAGATGGGACTACTTCGGTCAAAACTCCCATCACCACCTCAATAACGGCATGTGTGGCTCTCCTATATACGATCAAGAGGGCCGTGTGGTCAGTTTCTTCCGGTATGCGCCCAAGAGCGGATATTTCCTGGACTATGTCTGGTCCATCTCTGCGGAGGTTCTTCTTGAAAAGGGATATACAGTGGTTTAGCCAACAGAGATATGGTTCGCATGATCCCTAAGCGCAAGACATGAATTAAAAGAGGAGCTGGGTCTTATATAGAAACAAATTAGATGAACAATAGCCTATGATTGATGAACTTGGCAAGAAAGTAGAGAGCGAGACTAGTCACAGGTGTCTATATAGAGAAGCATCAATTGAGTAGACTTCAGACCTCTAGTCAGCAGTAGTTGTCGATATATAAATAAATTAACTCAGCTACAATATTCACTGGTATCCTAAATCTTAACCAGTGACTCCAATTATCATTCTCAGAAAATATAGATAATTCCTAATTACTCGCCATAAATATCCAGCTAACAACAAATCCTATACAGAAACAAAAGGGATATACAACTTGGAAAACCGGCAAAAGGAAAAGAGAAAAAAAAGAAGAAAAAAACAAAAAAGAAAGGAAATCAGAGCTGATTCGGTTCTACCTGTACCGACACCGAATAACATGGTCGTAAGACCCGACCATCGACACCGTCTCCGATTCTGCATCGCAGAGATATTAACATTATGTGTGTAAGGGATTCTCTATGCGCGATATCAAATCCATGGGGAACTGATTTACAGAAGGAATCTTCTGTCGAACCGCAGGATAACCCAGCGGCCAGGGTTTGTTGACTGGCAAGGTTCATTGCTCGCTGATGACTTCTTCCATGATGAACGAATGGATATGTTCGAAGTAGCCTGGTTCGGCAACGCTGTCGTTGTGGCCGCCGTTGGGGAGTGTGCGCCAGAATTTGCGTTGTGCCTTGCACACGGCGAATAGCTGGGTCATATGCGATGGTCTGCCATACATCAGTATTCTACACGTCACGATGATTTAAGGGAGAAAAAAAAGTATAAACTCACGGGACAATTTCGTCCTTTAGCCCGCTCAGGAAAAGAACGGGTACATCTGAGATCTTGGGTAGGATGTCCTCGCTCGTCCAGTACTGGTGACAGAGACGAGCCAGATAGCGAGCCGGGGGGAAGACACTGGCGAGGGTTAGTTTTCAGGGCAATCAATCACAGAAACGAACTGAAAGCATACGTGGGAATTAGTTTGCGGATACTGAGGAAGGTATTCTCAAGGATGAGACCGGCAATATCGCCGCGGCCCTCATTCTTCGCCACAAGATTGATGGCGACAGCACCGCCGAGACTCTGTCCGTACACCACAATCTTCGAGTCTCGCGTCTCAGCACGCTGGCGGATATAGTCCAATCCCGTCTGGGCGTCAATCTTCAGGCCGGCCTCGTCAGGGGTGCCAGTCGACAAGCCGTACCCACGATACTCGAGCATGAGGACATGGCAACCAAGGATTTCCATCAGGACCTTGGCAATTGGGATGCGGTGACCGATATTGCCCGCGTTACCGTGGAACATGAGCACCGTCACGGGAGGTCCCAACCGTTTCGTCTCCGGCCGCAGCAACAGGGCGTTCAACGACTCGCCATCAGGGGTTGGAATCTGCAGGTCTTCGTAGTCGGAGATCCCGAACTGGCGCGGTTTCGGGACATTCGTGCGAGCGTCCACGGGGACGTTTCGTGGATAGATGAGTTCACTGTGTTGGGGCACGTGGTCAGCTATTTCCCCAGCAGCGAGATTACCATGGCTCTAGGAGCTCTCCCCCCCCCTCTTCCCCCTTCTCCCCCGGGAAAGAAAACAAACCACATACTTCTGCTTAAAGTACAACAGCCCGCTCGCCACCACGGCCAGCCCAGACGAGGCAATCACTGGAAGTCGCAGGAACTGCACGGCGCTGTTGGCCATGGTCGTAATACTCCATGCCGGTGGGGGCGGCGGCGACTCGGACATGACGCCAGAGGGATCGTCCTGGGAGGGGAGGGATGGAGTGGCAGAGGGAGGAGGGCCCAGTGTATCTCTTAACGGAGCCGAAATCTCAACATAAACCAGTCTGAGCCATACGGCAAGATCCAATGACGAGTAGCAGGATGGCAGTTGTTGTCTCCTAAGTGGAGGGTGGTTTCAATGTTAATCTATCTGTCTTTCTGGCTCAGGAGGTCTGCGGGGGAGACAGCTCAGAGGGCAGCAGCCAATGGGGGCGGCTTTTGTCGCTGCCGCCCGGCAGAACCCGCAGAGCTGCAACGCGTTGTCTCTGCCTGAAGCTTCTCGTATCCACCACTGCGTTCCTGCTACTCTCCCAACCTCGTTACTACAGTTGCATCTCCTAAAATCATCGGTTCTATTGGATTGGTTTAGTGCTGCCTTCATTGAAATCACCATGGTTGGCCACGGCGTCACGGGGGTGCTGGGAGAAGGTCTGTCAGGCCAGTTACAGTCCGTCACCGCCGGATCTCGCTGACACTGAGAACAGATGGAATCCACGTTGATATGAACCACCTGAAGAAGGGTGAAGTCAAGTGAGTCTAGATCTAGTATATATGTTTTCTATAATCCTAGCCCTGCTGACAAGTCCAAGCCTAGGAACCTCGATGTGCGTTGCGACGTCCCCGGGACGGATATCCGAGACGGACGATATACCCTAGGGAAAAAGAAGGTTACTGACACGAGATAGTATGGCCATCAACTTCAAGGATGGCGTCATCCTTGGAGCCGACAGCCGCACCACAACTGGCGCCTATATCGCAAACCGAGTGACCGACAAACTGACGCAGGTGCACGACACCATCTGGTGCTGTCGGTCGGGCTCTGCTGCCGATACCCAGGCGGTGGCCGACATTGTCTCATACCATCTCAACATGTACGGCATTCAGAACAACGAGGCTCCGACCACGCAGGTGGCTGCGGCGCTGTTTCAGGAGCTGTGCTATGAAAACAAGGACGCATTGAGGTAAGTCTAAGCTATCAAGGGGTTATATATATATATATATATATATATATATATGCAATCGAAATCGGATTATAGGACTGACTGATTTCTGTGCTAAGCGCTGGAATTATCATTGCCGGGTACGACAAACGACACGGCGGTCAGGTCTATTCCATCCCCTTAGGCGGGTCCCTGCACAAACAGGCGTACGCCATCGGCGGCTCGGGCTCGACTTACATCTATGGATACTGCGACGCGCACTGGCAGGAAGGAATGACGGAGGAGGAAGGCGTCAACTTTGTCCGCAATGCGCTGTCGGAGGCGATCAAGTGGGATGGCAGCTCTGGCGGCGTGATCCGGATGGTGGTGCTGACGGCCAAGGGCGCCGTGCGGCATCTGTACCTGCCCGATACTGGCTATACGGGCCCCGGGGTGACCCGGTAATGAGTCGAGATGAACCTTACATGACCTGCGTTTGCTTCCTGCCTTGCAGTCCTCTAATTTGTAGCATTCGTAGCTATTACTGCTCCTAGGGTATACTTGCTATGTAGTAGTAACCAGTTCTAGGATTAGCAACAGCACGGTTACCTAATAGTTACCTAGGTAGTTAACTAGGTAGTATAAGTTTGGAGTAAGCTCTGAGCTTACCTGGTATTAAGTTTTCAGTAGTTCTCTGTAGCAGAGCTATTCGGTAAAATGTCGGGGCTGCCATGCTATTTCCATAGTTATATTTAACTATTTATGAACTATTAATCTCTAAATCACTAGTCACCTAGTTAGTTAACTAATAACTAATCAGTTAGTAACTAACTAAGGCTTTCCATGTAGCTTATGTAAAGAGGTACGGGGTCTTCCATAAGGTATACCTTAGTAAGTACTAGGTATTGACAGGCCCTGTAATATGGTTTTGTAATTTACAACCAACGGCGGAATCATTGCCGTCGTCGCTGCCACCTGCGCTACGGGTGCTCTCTGATTGGCCAGAAGTCACCATTGATCTGGGTGAGACCACCTGCAATACAGCTCCGTACACCAGAAATACTACCTCTAGCCTTTAGGTAAGGTACTAAGCAGATACTCCTTACCACCCCACAGCTCGTCTATCTGGATCTTCTCTAACTGACTGTCTTGCAAATTGTCGCTAGTCAGTCAGTCAACCGTCGAGTGGTGGGAGTGCAATATCGTTGTGCTTTCGTTGTTTATCGCGGCGAACCAACTGCGGACGTGCTACTGGGTCCTATAGTTTGCCCTATCAGTGTACAAAAGTACCTAGAGAACATCCAGCTTCTGACTGGTCGCCAGTCACTGTCGTCATACGCTGCACCGACACCAGCAGATCTTCGACACAGCCGTCAAACAGGTATTCGATAGGAAAACATCCCATCATTATTGCCATAATCCTGGTCATCAGCATCCTACATACCCCAGCTGTACGGAGTCTTCCGTACGGAGTAAGACGTCGTCGTGTCCTGCTGCTGGCTCGAACCTGACGTTTCAGATCTATCTTGCTCTCTCTCCCTCCGCATCCCGTATCTCAGTCCTTTGACAGCCTCCAATCCCCTCAGTTCCCCCTCGAACCAGTGTTTCACGCGTGAAACCTTTACTCTCAGTCTCTAGTCGACTAGTCAGACACTGTCAGTACCTGCCAGTTTTTTTCCAGCCTCACTGCCTCGCCTCTTCCGATCCTCGCTCGACTCCACCTCTGCCGCCACTACCACCTGTCTTCTTCTGCCACAAGAGTACTATTCTTCCTTTTTCTTCTTCTTTTGCTTTTTCTTTTTCTTTTTTGCTCTTCTTTTTGCCCATCTGTACCCCCTTTCTTTCCTCTCTATCAGAAGAAAGAATCCCCTTCCATCCTCGCCATGCACTGTGCTCTCGCCAGTCGTCGCCTGTGATTGTGTGCCACTTGGTTGGAGCTGACCGCCCGCCGCCCACACGTCTCGCCCGTCATCGAACCTGATCTGGTACCCCATCCATGCCCCTCCCTCCTCTCTCCACTGCCATGCCATTCTCTCCCTCCCTCCCTCTTCCTCTTCCTCTTGACTGTCCTGTCTTCTTTCTTCTCTCGTCCTCATTCTTCTCCAAATTGCCTCGCCTTCGCTGACCGCCGCCCAGTGCCTTTTCTGATCTAGTCAAGCCGCAGTCCTCTCGCGTCTCACCATCATCCTTCTCGCTCGCTCAGACTGGACATGGGATCTGTCGTTCTTAATCAAGTGCGGTCGGATTTAGTCTATAGCTCTTACACCCCCACCATGCTGGGCGGCGCGGTCAATAATACAAGTCAATCAACAACTCCCTCCGATTCCGTGTACCGTCCCTCAGCTTCGTCAACAACCACCACAACCCCCACCACAACCTCCTTCACGGCCCCGCCGTCTACCGCTCAGTTGGCCTCCCAACCGTCGAATTATGTGCCTGCCTATGTTGACGCGCCAGTCTCCCAATCTCACCACCATCATCCCCACTACCATCAACATCAGTCTTCCTCCTCTTCCTTAAGGCAGACTTCCCATCCGTCATCGATGACCTCCTCCGCCCCCGCCCCCGCCGCTGTCGCCGCCGCCCCCGCCAGCCAGGCCAACTCGCCCGACTCCCCTCGATTACAACCCACCTTCCGCTCTTTCCGATCCCTCGGCGGCTCCGAGGCCACTTCTCCTAGCCGTATCAAAGTCCGCGATCTGTCACACATTCAGAGTTTTGCCAGCGAGGAGTTCTTGTCTGCCGCCCACCCCCCGCAGAGCCCATGGGCCCAGGAACGCCAGTATGAGATCAGCTCCATGCCCGTCCCCGACATCATCGAGATGGTCGCCGGTCTGCTCACCAAGATCACGGCCACCAACGATATCCATCACGAACATGTCCACCGTAATATCCCGCCGCCGGACGGTACCGCTACCCTGAGCCCACAGGCAACAAGCGTCCTCGCCTTCCACGGCAAGAATGTCCCCAGCATCACCATCCTGAGCTATTTGACTCGTATCCACAAGTACTGCCCCACCACCTATGAGGTCTTCCTCAGTCTGCTCGTCTACTTTGATCGTATGACGGAGATGGTCAACCGCGGTCACCTCGAGCGTCTACGCCGCCGCGCCCACCGACCTGCCACTGCCCCCAGCGGTTCCGCATCCCCGGCCATCCGACCCGCGCCCACATCCTCCGCCTCTTCACTGTCATCCTCTTCATCCTCACCCTCACCTTCGTCGGCCTCCATGGTAACCCCACCCCTCTCCTCCACCGATCGCCCCGGTTCAGCGACCAGTTACCCTGCCTCTCTCGAGGATGACGATAGTCTCTCGCATTTCTTCGTCGTCGACAGTTTCAACATTCACCGCTTGGTCATCGCCGGCGTCACCTGCGCGAGCAAATTCTTCTCGGACGTCTTCTACACCAATTCGCGATACGCAAAGGTGGGCCTTTTCTTCTCTGGTAACCTTGTATCCTTTTTTTTTTCTAATTCCTCTGCAGGTCGGAGGTCTCCCCTTGGTCGAACTGAACCATCTCGAACTACAGTTTCTCCTATTGAACGATTTCCGACTCGCGGTTCCCGTCGAAGAACTGGAAGCCTACGGGACCATGCTGGTCGAGTTTTATGCGCGCGAGATCGTCGCCCAGCAACAGCACCAGCAGCAGCTGGTAGCGGCCCCCATCCCCGTGAATCCGTCCATGGTCAACGACTCGTCGGAGGGCATGTACATGCGTCGGGATAAACCCCAGTCCGATCCGGCCCAGGTACAACAGACACCCACGCCGCCGTGATCTGATTCCTCTCCTCACTGGCCACCTGTATCATCCCCCCCTTTTCTTTTCGGACTGTCTCCCGTACATACCTACCCTACTTACCACACCTACCTACCTAACTAACCTGCCTATTCCTCCTGTAACGACGCCTCCGTGAATAATAGATTGCGTTTTTCCTCCTTTTCTGCTGCTGCTTCCGCAGTGAATACCGATACCTCTCTATTGTGATATGCAAGCAGCCGTGTTTTTCTTTTTTTTTTTTTTTTCCGCTAATTTTTCTACTCTACTTTGCTACTCTCCTACATGGACGGCGTTCAACGGTTTCCTTTCTTAAACCATCTCAATATTCTCTTTTCCCTCCCACTTTTCTCAGGAGTACATGAAATCGAGGTCTTTTTACAACCCCTCCCGATATAGGCTTCTAGTGTGGTACTCTACATTTTCGCTCTTCTTTTATTTTTCTTGCATAGGAGGTAGTCTCGATAATACACTCTACTTAGGCATACCCCTCAAACTAACCCACTCATTGAGTCATAGTAAAATTGAATACAATTCGAAGCTCGAGCCAGAATTTAGAATCAGAGTAGGGTAAAAGATCGGCCTCCGTCAGAGTAATGATGCGGCCGAGCGCACAGACCACATCTAATATCCACTCCATCAGCTGCATAGTGCATACAACCACTTCATACCAACTATGTCGAGACTATAAAGTGACAATCAGCATGGGCAAACTAGGCGAGAGCTAGACAAAATACTTACCTGGTGTTGAGAAAACACTCTCCAACAATGGCACGACGGTGCCCGTCTCCTATACATGTTAGCAAGCTAAAGACCTACCTTGGCCCACCATCCCTAATACATATTAGCAGGCTTCAGACAAGATACTCAAGAAAGAAGACTTCCCTGGTGTTTATAAATCACGCTCCAACACTGGCACGACGGTGCCCGTCTCCTATAGACATTAACAAGCTAAAGACCTACCTTGGCCCACCACCCGCCCTGATACATTTAGCAGATTTCAGACAAGATACTGAAAACAGATAAGCTACTTACCTGTGTTTAGAGAACACACTCCAACAATGGCACGACGGCGCCCTCCTCCTATACACGTCAGCCCATAACCAGGGAGAAGAAAAGCTTACCTTGGATTGATGTGGGTGCGGACAGGCTACCTGTGAGGGACTACGACTTATACTTGTCCGAAGACAGAAGCGTCATTACCCCGGAGTATCGGGAACCCTACACCAAGATAGGTCTGAACCGCATGCAAGCAGGCCCTGCGAAGGACTACGACTTGTACCATCGGAAGATGGAAGCGTCATTACCCCGGGTGACTGGGAACCTTTCTCCAGTGTCTCCTAGACTTGCAAGCAGGCGCCCCGGGAAGGAATACGACTTATACCATACCCTGATGGAAGCGTGATTACCCTTGGTGACTGGGAACCTTCTCAGGTGTCCTAGACATGTCAGCCGTTGCCTTTCCTCAAAGGAGAACAGGGAGATGTACCTCTTTCGGTGTGCCGTGGCGCCACCATGTTCTATCCGAGGACAAACGCCTGCATCTGTTGCCTATTAGCAGTACCTGGTGACCCCCGCCCCCACGAGGATCACCCGGCAGACCAATGGAAGAAAGAAAAGAAAAGAAAAGAAAAGAAACCCAGGCCACATTGTCCCAACAACAGGAATGACAATGGGAAGACAAAAAAAAGAGTGTGCAACAACAGAAATCCGCTTCTCGCGGGAGATTCTTTAGGATGATTTTTTGATAATCAAATTTTTTTGTGTTTTTTTTTTTTTTTTTTTTGTTTTTTTTTCTTTTGGGTCTACATATATATACCTA